TGTAAGTTTTTAGCACGCAATATCAAGTACACGTATAAATATTTCAGTCAGTAGCCGCAATCTTTCAATGTCGTATTAGAACTTAATTCGTTAAATAACGTCTGATATAAAAAAGCAATATAAATCATGTTGTAACGGAGCCTGATAATGATCCTACAACCCTTTCAGGCATAGAACTAGAGGGGTTCTGGGTACGATAGCGTCTGACTAGTAGACTGGCTGCTGAGGAGCGTGATCAGGGGTGCCAAAGAATTCATACGGATTTTACACGAATTTTACGGAATTCATACGAATTTTACGGAATCCATACGAATTTTACGAAATACATACGATCCTTACTTATTTGGTAATCCAGGCGCAGGTCACCAAGAAAGTAAGGATCGTATGTCACCGAGTAATGGATCGTATGTATTTCGTAAAATTATTATGAATTCTTTTTTTATTTATTTATTGAAATATATTTATTGATTATTGGGCAAGAAACAAAAGTTGCTTATATAACACCTTCTACTCAAAACATACAAAGAGTATAAAACACATTGACAATAATTACAAGGTGAATAAAACCAAGATAAATACAAACAAGACAAATTGGTGATCTATTCATTACGAGACTCTACCCATTCTTTGGCACCCCTGATGATGTAGCCAGGCTGTCAATACGCGTTGTGCTGCTGCTGCTTACCTGTTACGGTAACCTCCTCACGTGGAGATAACGGGATTTCTGCTCGCTCTATTTATCTCCGCCCTACAGAATTCAGCTCACAGGCTGAACGGGTGGACGTACCCTTGACCTACTTGGCCGCAAACTATTTTTTTTTTCTTCTGACAGCACACACACACACACACCTACTACTTATAAAATATACACACACCAGAAAAGAATGAGTTGGGTCAGTTTACTGTTAATTTATTTTCAAGGAAGGGGAAGCCAATGCGAAAAAAACTCAAACACACAAACTCAAACACACGCCACCAGCATCTAGAGTATGGAAGTTAAAACACACACACACCACACACACACACACCACACACACACACACACACACACACACACACACATACACACACACACGCACACAAACACACACATGCATACACGGAGAAAAACGCAGAGACAGACACGCGCACACATATCACAGGGAGCTCGAGGCAATCAACACTTCATTTCTTCTGGCTGAAGCAGAAAGCCATTATGTAAGAAACCAACCAAAGCCACAGAGAACTTAATCTTTCTACTTCGCGTTTGAACAAAATCAATCTCCGTCCATATGGTCCTATCCGACTAGTGCAGCAGTGCTCTGTGATAAGGAAAGTCCGTGCATCGGAATATCGGATGTTTCATTACACAGCGAGAACACCGTGCGGTTGCCTTCGATACGGTAGATCCCCAAGCTGAACCCTATCGCCGGAAAATCAACTGAATACATTGTGCGCATCGCAGGTCGGCACACGGCCGGTAAAATGGCGAATTTAGGACAGCCAGGGTGAACGCAAACAGAGTTTAATCGCGAAGCTTTGACCAGTCCTCTGTCCTGCTACTTGCTACATAATGTAATCCAACACCATAGGGTATTTGCTACAGCACCAGTTAACATGGTGACAGCTCCAGGTCATAGTCCTCTGGTCTTTGCTACATCAGGGGGACGGGGGACGCTACGGACTTCGAACCATCTCTGACCCGTTCCTCACGTGACCTTCCGGATGTGTGACGTCAGCAGCGGGTCAGAGGGAAGTTGGAAGTCTGTAGTGTTCCTGGTCCCGGCTCAATGAACGGAGATGGGCCCTGATGTAGAAATATTGGTTCAACTACGCCTGTTTCCTTACCAAAGCTTGTCGATAGGTGACGTATTTTGGGACGTAAATTCACTGATATGACTGGCTTACTTGACGCTCAAAATACCGAGATAAAATTTTGTGTTCCCTTATGATGTCGAAATAAAACGCATTTTCAAGGTAATTCTTCTCGAGTCCATATATGCTTGGTTTACCTTTAATTTCTCCATGAAGTACTTTATCCGACGTCCTCAGCTAAGGTCTTCATCGTTACCAAACATTTTGGATCGATTGCTCATGTTTGGATCGTCCCCAGGACAGCGCCACGCGAATGGAACTCATTTATTTTCTCCGATATAAGCAAAGTGAAGCAGCTCAGCACCGGGAGATAGGGTTATTTGTTAGGCACCATGTGCTACTGAATGATATCGGGAGGAGTACGTGTGTGTTTCGTGAAGTAAGTACGAAGTGAGCTGATTAAAAGGCGTTTGGAAGTCGGTAGAGTCCCCCGTCCCGGTTCAATGGATCCTGATGTATCAGCAAAGTGGGCAGCTGCTGACCGCCATGTTGGTGTCCTTGATTTGCATTTTTTTCATGGAAGGCAGATTCAGTACACACGGCGATTTTATTTTACTTTACAAATTCTATTGGCGAGTTCTTATGCCTTTTAGTAACCTCTTCGGTGAGCTGTACCCACTTAGCAGAAGTTATTTGAGAGGGCCAGAAGATTCTAGCACTCTCGTTTTTCAATCGTGCTATAAATTGTTCTGCGTCCTTGGCCAGGGTCCCTCTCTCGTTAACGTACAAGTGAGATCAATAATTCGGTCTAAGGATTTCTCCCCCGACACCGACACGTGCACGGAGCCGTCCAATATCGTGGTGTAACAAGACCCTCCAGTCGACCATTCATTACATCCTAATCCTCGGCGGCTTTTGCGGCTTTTGTATCCAATATCAGAGCCGAGTTATATAATTCTCGCCTGTCCTTGACTGAATAGCCGGCCATGTCCAGCCAATTTCGGAGGTAATGGCTCATCTGATGCAGACAGCGTGGCCGCGATACCTCCAGGACTGAGGGACTGGTGGTTTGGGTTCACGTATTCAGCATGTCAGGGCGCTAGCTTCTTGACACGTATCATTGGGCTGTGATCTCTTTTTGCGTGTTGATGCGCAGAGCGTTGAGCAGAGTGTAAATTTTTACCGAAAGAGCCCTTGTAATGTCAATATGCCCGAGGGATGATAGCAAAAATAGATGCTCCAATTTATGGGTCGTAAAGATCAAAAAGAAGATACAGCTACAACGTAACTTGAATACAAATGTGGATTTTTCTACTCATATTTGATATCAAAAGTGTAGACCTACTGCTTTGCCATAATGATGCAACAAATGAAAGGCTGTTAGATGTTTTGTACATTTTCTACAATATCAAACTTTCTAGACCGATGAGGAAAAAGTAGGGCAGACCCATTGGAAGAAACACGACCTCTCGTTAAAAATCAGCAAACGCCAATTATCCACTATTCACTGGCTTTTATGTAAAGACCTCGACCTAAATGCGCAACTATAATTGGCAATACTGACTTAAAATTGACCTGGTTTGAAGATTAAGAACAGGGCACGACCCAAGGATGGGATTTTCTTCTCAATGCACATATGTGCATGATGCTAGTTGGCCTGTGTTGTTGTTCAGTTGGATGGATCGTAGGTTGCCAATATATAGATAAGTTGGCAATCAATGAGATGTGTACCAGTACCGCTATGCTTAATGAATGATAATAATAATGTGTGAGTGTGTGTGTGTGTGTGTGTGTGTGTGTGCGTGTGTGTGCGTGCGTGCGTGTGTGCGTGTGTGCGTGCGTGCGTGTGTGTGTGTGTGTGTGTGTGTGTGTGTGTGTGCGTGTGTGTGTGCGTGTGTTAGTGTGTGTGTGTGTTTGTGTGTGAGATCCAACAAATGAACCAAAGGCTGCATGAGCTAACCGTGTTCACCACCTGTGAAAAGGCAGTATTCACGACTTACGAGCGCCGACGATTGACGGAGACCAGTACTGCATGGTGACTTTTTAAACAACAACTTTGGGGGGTAAGCTGTTGAAGTATCTCCGGAACATTTATAGCTATCGCCATGCAGTACTGGTCTCCGTCAATAGTTGGCGCTAGTGAGTCGAGTATACTGTATTTTCACAAGTGGTGAACATGGCGATGTTTCGGATCCAGTCATCACCGGGACAGCAATGAAGGTACTTCAAGTAGCGACTTAATGTCGTTCGTAAAGCTACTAGTATTAAAACTTGTCTTAGTTGAGGCATTTTCGACTGCTTAAATGGAACTTAAAGGCCACATGAAATTATGTATAGGTATCGAAGTCTCATTTTCTCAAGAAGTCGTGGATGGATTCTTATTTAGGTCAGTGGAAATTCAATGAGTGTTGATGTCTAGTGCTTGGGAAGTGGAAAGTTCAGGTATCTACTTAGTTAACGTTTTCATTTGTTGATTTTCTTTTGCCAATGACATCTAGAATTTTTTTTAAATCTTAGAAACAGGCAATGTATATGGGTGATCACAATGTATGTCATTGTGATCAACTAAAAAAATGACACAATGTGCTAGCGCATTTTGCTGCTTTATCTACTTCTACAGTACCTTTTATTGAACTGTCCAATCCTACGACAACGAAGTAAAGGACCAATCAGGGGAAGATATGAACCAAAGCCTTGTCCTGATTGGTCAGAAGGGAAACAAAAAGATAACATTAGAAGGAGCTGATTTTTATTTTCTCTTCGAAGTATTTATTTTTACTGCCAGTGGGTTGATGCAGAGGAGTAACTTTTATGTGTTTTTCTAACTGAGAGATTAAACAATTTCTTGATCTAATTCTTAGCATAGTTTTGGAATTAACGAAAACAAAAATTAGAATGGATCTTATGAGTAAGAAATGACAAACATTTATGCAAAACAAGGCTAGTGGCGACATGTGACAGAACAGATCAGGCACGTGTGTAATTACGATACAGTCCAGGAATCTTTAATACTCTTTTTGAGAACTACAGAAAGGGAATGACTTGTCTTCTGATACAGAAGCAATCTTGTACCAGAGGTAAAGTCTAACAAAGAAGAAAAACTCTTAATCGTTTATCATTGACACTGCTCACAGTTACAGGCAAAAGACAAGAGACTGAAATCTCACAATGTTAGAAGAATTTCAAGAAGTAAATTTCAACGCTTTTCTCAAAGTTTCTCTACGTACAAGGATTGAAGGTAATAAGAAAAGTAAGCATGCAGTTAAGTTCAGACGCAACCAGGATAAGGCCTTTGCTTTAAACACTGGTCACTATGAATCTGGAATGTCATTTTCTGACTCTCAAGGCTACCATCTTGGATGCCTTATAATTCACATACAATAAAGGTTTAGGTGTCGTTCACATGGACACACTTCACTATATATCATGTGAATCACTGAAAATTTGACCAAACGAATTTGTTGGTGACCAAGCAAATTTCTGGAAATGTCCAAAATTTGCAACGTCAATCCAAATCAATAGTGACCAGTGTTTAAGTTTGAACACAATGTCTTCCCCCGTTAGCATGACGTCACTAGGCCTGTCAGCGCGAGGACATGTCTGGCCGGAAGTGACGTTAGTCCAGCGGAAGTGACGTTCACTCCTTGCACAGTCCGAGGTTGTTGAGCTCGTCCTGGCTCATGTAATAGCGGGCGATGAAGAACTCCCACTTCTCAGGGTCACGTGGCCTGCATGTCAACCCGAGCTCACAGGGGCAGAAGTACCTGAAAGATGACGGGTGTACAGTCACGTGACAGTCACGTGCGCCATGTGTGTGTCTTTCATGTAAGTCGTGTGAAATCTTAATCTCCAAGCAGATCTTTCGGTGGCAAGACAGTATCCATTGGCCAGAGGAGTGTCCATTAGCCACAGAAGGTGGGAAATAGATACAGGATCTGAGGATGGCCAATAGATACGGTCTTTTGCCACCCAACCGAAAGATCTGCTTGGAGATTAGTGAAATCTGTCGTCATTTCATCATCATCATTCCTCCGGATTATAAATCCGGTGAGGTACACTTGATAAAGTTATTCCAGTATGTCCTATCCCTCATAGCAGACACTAATGCAGTCCCTGCGAGACCAGTGTCTCTCTTTATTAAACATGGACAAAAGTGTAGTATAAGGATGTCCCACTCTACGCCTGCCAGTGTACATTTTGAATTTGTATTTTGCATTTCTATACGAGCGATCGCCATGACGTCACGGCCAGCGAGCGGTAGGCAAAAAGCGCGGGTAACGGTTGGTTGATTTGCCTACTGATAATTTGCATATGTCTCCCAATAATTTGCATGTATATGATGTACTAGTAAACAAAAACAGTGATCGCTCGTATGAAGACGCACGCAAAGTCATATTGTAAGAAGTTCTCCGGACAACTACCCACCCTACTTTATGAAACTTTGCATTCTCCTCTTAATATTTATAGACCTTCAAACTATGTATGATTATCGGCAATGGTTCGGCCATCTTATATCTGTCCGCTGGAAATAAGGTGGAGACGGAGGTGTCTTAATGCACGTGATGTCACAACCACAATTAGATTGGTTAAACCTAAAAGTATAACTTATTTGCCTGTGTTAGATGTCATTTTGACTTGATTTTAATTGCAAATACAAATTCAGATTCTGATTCACACATTTTCCTCTATGTCAAATGTCATTATGACTTCACATTAGTTGCATTCACACTCGGATTTACATGTATGCTTGCAGGTGCAATCATCCCATGTGGCCGACAGTGCACTATACTCAGGTGAGTTCAAAAACGTTCGAACACCCTTCTTACCTACTCTCCAAGCAGAGGTTGTGGGGGAATAATCGTTAGCTTTTTATAACTATATATGGCCTTTTTTTTCGCTACCCGTCGGTGGCCGGCGACCTTCTCTGGCTAATGGATACTGCCTGGCCAATTTGATACTGTCTTTTTACCACCGAGAGGGATCTGCTTGGAGATTACTTCTTACCTGCTATTGCCATCCAGGGCACACGGCGCTCCGTGGGTCCCAATCTCCTTGCATGCGTACACTTGCTCGTTGATGCCGATGTCCAGGCAACACTGCGACGCCTTACAGTCCGTATCGGCACTGCAGCGCATGTAGCGGTTTGTTGGAACCATGGCCTGTATGTGAAGACACGCGAATGTTTTGATGATGATGACTGGTTTATTCACATAAAACACATAAACAAACAAAGTCTGTGGCAGCCAAAATGGCTGAATTGGCGACTTTTTACAATTTAAAATCAATACAGCCTTACAAATATTGTACATACATATGAAATACGATTTCAATATTACTATACAAACAGTCGTTCTAACATCCGGAATATTTAAACTTACACATCGTTCAATAACTTTGTCATGAAGTAGATCGAGCTCTTAGTAAAGTTTTAGGCAAAGGCTACCATGTCTAGCATACGGAATGTAATTGAGTGAGATATCCTTATTTGCCGTGTGAATTGATGTTTGCTTTGGCCACCTTGAAGCTCAGATAGTCAAGACAACTTCGCAATGTTAGCTCAGACTCCTGCAAAATTTACTTAAGATTACCCTTGGTATTCGTACCTTGCACCTTTCACAGGTTGTAACTTGTAAGCAAATAAAACTACTTGTGTGCCCGGATTATTCTAGACATATATTGAGAGTACCTACAGTCAGGTATAACTTGCTTTGTTTGTTCACGGCTTTTGTGGCAGTTATATAAGAGAATCCTCAGTGATGCAGTGTGTTACAATAGTTGTCCCTTTGGTCTATCGTACTACGACGCGCGGTGTGTGTGCAACTATATAAAAACGGTTTCCCGTGGCGGCAGCTGAAACAGTGGAGTGTGAAAACTACAAGTAGGAAAGGTGATGTTTGGAATGAACTTAAGGTGTGTCTCAGCTAGCATATACATACTAGTATATGAGCAATATGTAGAGTGCATGGACGGTAAAATAGGACCCTGTGCAAAATACGAATATAGAGGATTAGAGTTTGTACCTGTCGGCTACAGTAGCATACATCTATTTGTCTTCTATCTATATTTTACAGTTTGCACAAATCAATCCTCTCCAAACACGAGGGTTTCTTATCGGCACACATTAAATAACGATTTGGTAGATTAGACACGTTTCTGTTCAGTGAAATGTTTGAAAAGTCTTCACAAAAGCTTTCAAAACAAATCGAGAAGAAATGTCGAGATAACGCCGCATACCTCGCCGAAGAAACACAAGATGGATTGTTTGGACAAATTTGACTTTGGCGTTCAGCGATTGGTGCATTATCGTTAACCCAATTAACTACAAAGGCACGGGGGATAAAGATGGGGGCTAATGACGTCATGGTATAATCAATATCACAAGTTATCGCGTGAAAGAATTAATAATAAACCTGGCATTGCGATATAGGGTCATTATTTATGTAAATGTTATGGTTTACAAAATTAAACTGCATTAAGTTTGGGGTACAAGAAATACGATGTATTGAATCTAATTGCGTCTCTCCTTAGTATACAGTAGTATAATTTTCAAACATACTTTTCAGTCCCGTATGAAATGAAATGGATACAATATCAATTATGATTAAAAGTACATTAGATATAATAAATTGCGGCTCGAAGTGTTTGCAAATATTTGCAAAATAAAATAAGATATGCACAAAATGTCCGAATTGAAAATAAACCATACATTCAATCTTCACAACTACGCAAAGAGTAATATGTGGATGGGTGGCAGATTAAAACTAAAAGTCAAGAACTTAACAATGTTTCAAATAGTACAAGGATAGTAGTACAGCCAAAAAATTCCTGGACAACGTGACGTATTGAAGAAAATTGGCAATTCGTGGAGGGGTTTTACGTTTGAGCTACAGGACATAATCACCGAAGCTACCGCACGTGCAAGACCGTTTCGTGTGCTGAGGAAGAAAAGAGAACTTGAACCTCACAACCTTTTGAATAGTTACAACAATGAAGGGTGTGGATGTATTGTATGGCACATGTGAACTGGGGTAACAAAGGAATTCGTTTGGGCAAATATGTCGCTCTAAAGGCTAATATGTCGCTCTAAAGGCTACAAGTAGCCGCGCGGTCACATATTGGTCCTACGCTGTCGCACGATTTTGAACTTGAGGCTGTGACAGAACCAACCACGGATCTAGTACAGCCTTTCCGACACTTTTACAAGACGTCTGTAGTTCTTAAGACGCACACACGACCTCCCAAAAAGCCCTCTTGTTTGTTTATAGTCGCACGACGCTCGAATGTGGTCAGACCATAAAGTACAGAGGCCAAAAATCACCGCCGTGTCCCAGAATTAGGTGAAGGTGAACCTAGTGACCTTTTTGCTTTAATGTACGATAGATCCCAAGTCATAGTGCTCTGATTGTCCCCAGTTATATTATGGCCGATTCAATGTCATTTTCAATGTGAACCCGGTCGTAGAAATCCATATAAGCGTCTCTCTGATTTACTTCATGTGACGTTTCTACAGAAACAATTCGACTCAAACAATCAAATAAACCGTCCTATCAAATGGGTTATTTGTGTGATCTTGGTACCTGCACTTGTGAATTTTATAAATGCGACGCCTGTTACTACGTTAATCTCAAGTAGAAGATAAAGAGAGAGGGGTGGTTTATGTCGATACTGCAGTGACCACATAACTGTGATCTAATAGTCGACAATTAGCGACACATTTTACAAACGTAGATTTATTACCGGCATCACTTAAATCTCCTCGCTGGCATTCATAGTTCGGCAATTTCTGTGATTCAACAAATATGTGTAAAATGGCTATGTGTAATCTATCAGGCCTATCGAAAAACTGCAAAAAACAGTTCACCATGAGGTCTTGTAGAGACAATGGAATACTTACCGATCCAATCTTAAACCCGTCGGCCTACTAAGGTAAAAAGGTGTGATAATTAGCTAATTTCGGCGTCTACATGCATGAGAAAACGATTGGTTACCCTCTACTATCTCGTATTTTGATTTTACAGTGTTCTCCTAGGTTAAGAAGAAACCCCTATGTATATTTTTGACGAGGGACAAGGTGAGATATATATACCTGCCCGCAAGTTAGAAAAACTAAAAATGCTGTTATTCTAGTAGTATTTATGTTTTAATGTCCACAATTGATATCTGTATTTCATTTCTATTTCAAAATCTTTATGCATGGCATAATGCATGTAGAAACAACCACGTATACTCTCAATTAAGTTATGATTTTGATGTTAAAATTTACCGTTTACTTTTTGATAGAAAACTTCGAAAAGACATAAAAACCGACCACACGGCAAATCTCCAACCTTTAAACTAATTATAATTAGGTTTAAAATCACTATACATTGACGTCTGGAAGTATTTGTTCAAACTTGTGTCACTAGTACTTGCACACGTTCTTTTTACAACTTTTCATTTTAATATCTGCATCATAGCGTTCTCTGTTAACTGTTTAAAGTAAAATGCGAACTCTGTATCTGTGACTGACCTTTTTTATTGTCTTACTCTCAGACCTCGCGCTAATCACATCTTGTAACTCTATCCAAACTTTTGGTATTATCTAACGGAATGGAAGTGCATGTTTCTCACCTGTGTGAGCGCCACCAGGCACACAAGGAACAACCCCAGAACGGCCTTCATGTTGGATCTGTGTCGTCTGTCGTCTGATTCTTGTCAGCCCAGCGCACTTCTGTGGCACCACACAGTCCTCTCGTACCCAGGATCCTGCGTCACGTCTAGCCTCTAATGCAGACTTCTTAGGAGCTATTGCGCAACCGTGTGTACCGGCGAGAAGAGACCGAACCTGTACTTTAAAGGCATCTAATGCAATTTCTGGGCGGCAAAACTGGAAATATTTTGAATAAGGCATTGCTGTATGATATTAACACATACATCAGTATTTTATACTTTAGTCATTTAAAACTCAAAAAATATGCCCCAAGATTAGTCCTTTATTTTATGGGTGGTAACCTAATAATCAACCCAGGTCCTTTCAGTAACCGTTTTCGTCAGAATTTCGGGCATTTTTGCTCCGGGAATGTTGATATACAGTGCAGTATTACAGTATAAAATGCAACGGTATTGCGCAACTTCAGGAGTCTGGTTTGTGGCTATGTCAGACCGGACTTTCAAAGATAGCGATCTGTACGGCGACTTTGTTTGGCCGCGTCTGCAGTCAAAGTATGTTTGTTTTGTAATTATTGCAAATACCATTCGGGAGCCAAACTTTCCTCGCTAATCTGCATGTATGTGCGGCTTTCTGTTGACTCAGCATCGCAGCAGGGGGACAAGTTTACTCAAACTTTGGTCTCGTAATGTTCAACAAAGCCTTTTGTGTGTCCGAGCCTGCAGCCTTCACCCCTGAGCGCTGAGACGTTACATAAAATCCTTTTAAAAAATCAGAACTTTTCCATGCTTGGCGGCATTCATTACATAATGCTGTCGCCTAGAATTTTCGGCTTGCACAATCTCGTAACCACGAACACCAAGAATAACATAAACAATTTAATAACAAACATTAATCTATTAAATTCTACCCTCTGGTCCTCGTATTAAATGCTTGGTCTTTGATTTTCCTCCTCTTAATAGTTTTCTAGGTTATTCAGATGCAATGTTCTAATTTTCAAAGATGCTTCGTTGAAAATTTTCTGAAGGAATCTCTTCTAAACGTTTCCATTAGTTAAATACGTGACAACACGTCTGCTCGATCATGTGGACCATATTTGCTGGACGCGGCGGCATGTTGATAAGAAATCTCGGTAACCGGGACCAGCCCTGGCCTCCAGACCTTGACTCTGTGGATTACATCTACGGGTATTCAAAATTCGGCCTCCTTTCCTAAAACTGATATCGCCTTTGTACAATACTGAGCGTTCCTGTAAAGTAATGCAAAGTCTCAGAATTCAGCCACGTTTCCTATAGCTAAGAGACAGCGACATCAATAAAACAAAATAAAACGGTGTCATCGAGGTCTTCTCAAGAATGGTTCCATACTCTGATAAAAGAGTGTAAGTGGTTTTTACCATTTATGCATTTTTGGCTGATTGTTTATAATCTTAATCGCACATTAGATGGCCGTTTATAGACAGTTTTTGATCGTTTTTATTTTGTTTCATGTATGTTTGTTTGTTTGAGCCATTGTTTAATGGCACTAAAGAACTTATGGGTTGTTACGGCGTTATTCCTTCATTTTTCTAGCATCTGGGCAATCATGCCTGATCTGAAGTCGTAAGCTCACATCATTTTTTTAAATACATGGCGCGATCCATGAAATGTGGTTAACTTGGCCATCTAGAGGCAAACCCTTTCCGCGCCATGAGGATATTGACTCGGCACGATTGTTCCTAATGAAGAGATTTGGGCTGGCCATGACGTCATGGTTACGGATGTGGGGCAAACCACGTCGAGTCGTGAAGAGGGTTGTTAACACGCTTATCACAACTTTGACCTTCAGGCTCATTTGTCATCACTGGTACAGACGCAATTAGTAACAGGACGGATACACCTGCGTTTTTGTGGTCTAGTGGCGTTTCTGTAGCTGAAGTAATGCGGGTTAAAATTCGCTTTTCTTTCACAAAACTTTGCCGTACACAATTTTAGCTGATAATAATCTTATAGCGGTTTCACAGATTAACATCAAAACACACCATTCCAACGGTTATCCTAAGATCGTCACAAAAAGTGAATTGAAGAGGTTTACACCAGTAATACCCGATGTACGTTGTTAGAGTTCCCTACTAATAGAATAGGAATACAATGCTTTCCAAAATGTTGCTATTCTTAAACTAGTGGATAAAGTTGCAAATCGTTGTTTGAAGACACTACGAATGTTGTTTCAATTTGATAAAAGGTTAGAATAGAGTTGTTTTGTGTTGTCCCCTTGAAGGCTCTGAGGTAATGGACTTTGTTAGTAACATGTTTACTAAAGCTTATGTAAGAAATTATAAATATAGAACATCCTGGATTGTTTCTGCAATGACCTCGAGGTCCATGAAAAAAAAGAAGAAAAAAAATCAAGATGACTAAAGAAAGAAACGTAGCTCGACATGTCGTTTTTGTTAGTTGATTTTGGACTCTTTAGATTTTGTTACAACTGTTGCTGCTAAAAGTGGCTTGTCGGCAGTGTAGGCTAAATTAAAGCTATTCAATTTATTTTACAAGTAACAAAGTCTTATTTGTTTGAACACACGTAAGAATAAATAAACAAAACAACAAAGAAATTGAAAGAATAGGAAAACTAAAGACAAACCCTGAAACACATACAACTGGCTACAATGAATAAACGTTCCTGTTTGCAAAATTAAGAAAAAAGACATCGAATACGTTTGATATTTAATAGTACCAAAGTTATATGCGGTAGGAATAAACACCCAAACTGAAATTCTTGTGTTATGACTGAGTTCTTCGAATTCTTGAGTTAGGAGAGTCGACGTGTCCGTCTCAAAGGTACAATGTAGGTGGAAAAAAACGTCATCTTCAAACTATGCCTGGTTTGACAGCTGAAGCCATTACAACCAATTTGTAGTCCCGTACTCAGCCGTGCGGTCAGAGGTCAACCCTGACACACAGTAGCACCTTTGTGCACAAATACAGCCCGCAGGTTTGTAAAGTATCGACCTCAAGTTGTGCAAATATGCTTTATCTTTTCTGCTTGACAAGTGTCGCTTGTGGTTGGATGTGTGCCCAGGTGTATTGCGTCAGTATCCTGATTTTTTTGACGACTGAAATTGCAGGACGTAGCCTGATATAAGTAATGATTTACATGGCAATGAACAGGCGCTTTATAATTTAGGGTTAGATAACCCTAATTTAGACACATTTTTCGTTTTTCTGGTCCAACTATTGGGCAAATGCGATCACATTGATGCAATGTAAAATGACATTTTCTTGGAAAACGGATGTTTATGTTAACCGAAGGAAAACATATTGTTTTGGCTAAGTTTCTTCTTCTTCCCAAACAAATAAGGTCAATGACCTGAACCAAACGTCTGTCACCATGGTAACTAGTGTTGGGTTACATCATGTTGCAATTTTTGTAGCAGAAGGGATTTAGACTCCTGTCTGACCATATACTAGTATATGAATGTGTTTGAGTAAGAATTAACAGAGCAGACCATATGCGAAGGTAAACATTGCGCATTTGCTTTGCAAATGTTACCTTTCTAGTAGAAACATATATTCATTACATCAGTCAGAAAGACATTTATGTATGCTGACGATCTCGAAGTTAGACCTCTGCACCAGATAGTCCAGGAGGAACACAGAGATCATGTGGCTGTCGGGATGGTCGGAGTCCAGACTTAAGATCCCGCCTGTCTCTCCCAGCTGTTCTCTCAGCACCCGCTCAGCTTTGGGCACACGCTCCACGTCACGATAGTTGTAGTAGTTCTCTTGTGTCAGCAGGGTGCCTAAACGTTACAAGAACGTGTGAATTATATTATTGTAAAGATATGAATTTTGCAATCGCCATAATTCCGGATTTCGCAGGCGCAGCAATGTATTGTGCATAGCACTTCGGCAGAACGTCTCATATGTACATGTATTTAACATCCCATCTGTAGTTTCCAAAGCTTATGTCGGGAAAGAAATCGTTTACAACAGGCAAACTTCTGATGCAACTTTGACCAAAAAAGCCCTTTTCCCACTAGGATAGAATTTTTCCGGATCTAAATCGGATCAAAGTCAATCTATACGACTCGATCCGGACAATCCTATTCTAGTGGGAAAAGGAACAAAGTGACGTAAATCATGGCAGTTCGTCATGCCAATGTGGAGACACTTGCCTTCAGTTGGCGGGAAACGGGCGGTCGGTTGGACCAGTCGCAGACCTCGGTTCTTGGCCGCAGTTACGATGGGGTCCGTCAGATTGTCGGGCAGGTAGAAGGCGGGCTGCAGGCCGGCGTCGCGGTGACGCTCCATGGCGCTCACCAGGCTGTAGCGGATCCACTTGTACGTCTGGAGCATGAAGTGCCCTGGCGGAAAGGGCTGGTTCTGCAGTCAAAACACAGTAATCAAAGGCTTTACGTACAGTGCCGATTCATAATCAAATCTGGGTTGCAAAGTTCCCGCCACCTTTTCTAGAACCCGAACTGTGTTCGATCGTGTTCTTCTAGAACCCGAACTGTGTTCGATCGTGTTCGATCTGGGTAATTCGAACAGAACGCGTGTTCCATTACAATAAACCCGCAAAACCAGGGCCTTTTCCATCATTTTGTTTACCATACAAGCGTATGAGTAACGTTAATAATTTAATGGAAACTCCATCTAGTTCCAGAAGATTGAGATCTCGGATTTCCTGTTTCAGGAGTTGTGTTCCCCTATGAATTAATGTCGGTACCGTACCTCTCGCATCCCGATTGTAAAGTTCCTCGCCCAGCGCCGCACGAGACCCGGGAACAGCTCCACGAAGTCCCCGTAAACAAACAGCGACAGAGGGACCTTGGCCGGATGTGCGGCCATCGTCTCCACAAGTTTCCGGGCGGCTTTGGCGTTCATACCGACCTGAACAGCCAGCGTCAGCGGGAGAGTTCCGTTCGGAGACGCCGAGGCCGAGCAGTTAGGGTACACACCGCCTGGGACACCGGGAGTGTCCTTTGGGACCTGTAAATATTTTTAGACCTTAGAACAAAAGTTAGATTTAGGACCTAAAAGGAAAACAAAGCAAGACTTTTACAAAACACTCCTTAGCTTCGCATCTTAGAAAAAAGTTAATACATGTAGATAAAAAGGCACATCCACATACTCGGCTTGGTGGATGTAATGCTTCAAAATCTTCGTAGTGTCTCAGTTCCGCTGACCAGGACAGTATGGACTGCGAAGGAGAAATGCCCTTCCTCGTAAACCGGTTCATTAAGCTCTTCTTCTTTTCTTTACCCCACTTCTTGACGGCTTGATTCAGGTGGAACTCGCCGTAATACCTCCATGGCAGAAACAGACAAACAAAAAAATTAAGGCATGCTACCAAATCGATGACGTACATGGTACAGACATGCTTGTGGTTCTCCATACGTAAGACAGTAGGTGAATATTGGTTATCTTTTTTTCTTCACTACTCATACATCTTGAGATAGTGATGCTATTTTATTTTCCTTGTAAAATTATAAAAATAATATTCCAGTTTCTTAATTAGATAAAGGCCTAGGGAAGCTACCTTTTGATCTTTTTAAAGTTCTCTTAGACGGATACCTCTAAAGGAGAATAACAATAGCACATGCTCCAGTTCATGCATTGAGATAAACTCTGTCTAAAATATCAAGATAAATCTATTTCTCAGTAAGAGAAGTGTTCTACAAATTAACGTATCAATGAAACTTCTATAGGCATACATCCTCTATCCTAACTACTCACTTGTCCACCCATTTGAACGTTCCGTCCATCAACATTTTTTTGAGAATGTCGTACTCTGCGCCTTCCACGTCTAACTTGAAGATGACGTAATCCTCCTGGTTGGTATTTTCCTGGATCCACGTCGACAGGTCGATGGTGGGGACGGTGTGTCGGTAGGACAGGAGCCGGTGGCCGCCTTTCAGTTTCCTCATCCTCTCTCTCCCCGACACGAACAGGCTTCCCCCTCCCCACTGCATGTCTTGTCCATTTTTCAACCCTCTCTCCGGGTACCATACAGACTCTGCGTACGCCGTCATGTTGCCTGAAACAGGAATTTCAGACGTCACTTAATTCTTTTTACTTCCAGGAAGTGTTTTGAGGTTTAATGACCTTCAAGTTAAAGGACTAAGAAGTGTTTTGGTGGGTCGTGAATGTATCGGAACTGTGGAGGGAATTATACCATGTTGCCTGAAACAGCTAGGAATTTCAGACGTCTCGTCTTTCAAGTATGCCTATGATGCATTTAACATTATACGCCAGTGTAACAGTGGGGGGTTCATAGGCGCTACCAACTGCCTCGACCGATGGGTCTAGACCTTTTAGCCGAGTGGTTAGAGCGTTGGCGTGTGGACTGGTGCCCGGGTTTGGTCGTGGGTTTGAACCCCGACCAGGGGTTTTTATCTGTTTCTACTCACTCCTCCTGTTTCTTACACCAGATTCAAGAGTCACCACGGCTAGGAAGTTTCTGGATATAACTCCTTTCATTAAAATACATACCGTAGTTCTTCAACTCACCGTTTTTGTTGGTCACTGCGATGGGACAGTGCAGCTGATGGTTAGAGTAAGGCGCGAAGTACGGGGCTAGCCGGTGGTCCAGCTCGAAGGAGTGGATGATGAAGTCCTTCCCGCCAGGGTAGGTCTCCCGGAACAGCTGCACGGTGGAGGCAACATTCCCGCCGCAGTCCAACAGAATCTTACGCGGTCGGGAAGGGTCTCGGGTATTTGTTCTGTAAGGTCGCAAGAAGTTTCTTAATAGCCCACTGTTACTGGTAAACGGACTTTTCAACATTCTAAAAATGTCTCTACTTTATGCTATGCCATGTCTTAAGGGCGATTTTTCGGCCTGTGGGATAGGGTCTAGGGTTATTGAATGAAAGATTGTACGTTTTTAAAAGCTAAGTACAGATCATGAATAAACATGTAAAAGAATACAGCAATCTATACATCAAACTATATATACTGCGATCTACTACTTACAGGTTCAACTTCTTCTCGCTTCTTGAGGCAGTTGTAGATGTACGAACATATGAAGCTAATGATACATGGTTTGTCAAGTTTCATAAAGATATTCTTACTTACCCTAACCGTCCTACAGGCAATGCAGAGTTGGAGGATAGTGATGCGACGTCTTTGCTTATATCTCCTACACTGATCCCCGAATCCTGTCCCTCACATAAACACCTTAACGGCCGGCAGTTCGCAGTATTCAAATGAAATCCAACCAGCTGAGTCAGAACAATGCCGACAGCTAACCCCAACAGGAAAGCAATCTGGCTTTTCTTTGCTTTGCTTGCGATGAATGTGTCCAGCATGTCTATCTAAACTGATGAAACAAATGTCAAAAGAATACCAGTTAGTAGAATATTCATCAATCAGTGACTGTCTTGAAAGGTAGAAAATACGTACCTCCGTGATCAAGATGTACAGTAGACATCGAAAATTTGGAGGCAAGTGTTTCTACCTTTAGCTTTCAAAACAGGTACTTTTATTTTAATCTTACGTGACCGATAAACCTCTTCAACAAAAAACATCATATATAGTGAAATACATGCCTGTTATTCTAATGTTAACAGTTAAAAGCGACAACTTATTGCGTTTCGTTGCTGAGTTATGTATAAGTAGGTCTCCAAAGTATGTATATCAACTGTGTCTGGGTGCTCCACATTAATTTAGGACCTTCACTCATCTACAAGGCCACTTCCCCCTGCTCCCCCTCCGGCTATAGTGGCATGTTCTATTATATGAGTCAGTACTGGTCGGACGGGGGAACGGAGTATTCTTACATGGATAACTTCTCTTTTGTTTGGCAACTTCTCTTTTCTTTGAGTACTTTTCGTGTATTTTATTGTGATACCCATTTTTTAAAGTCTTTTTTCTGTAAAAGGCCATAGAATTGCCAAGCTGTGACTCTATTCTTCCCCCTTCATGCCTAAAGAACTCAGCTGCAAGGTTTTATCCCAGTACGAACCCTCATATCGAATGGGTCAACGCCTTTTTATGAAGGTCAGAAAGTAATGGTTAATTTCAGACTGAAATGTCGTGGTTTGTGAGTTAAAACTAGAAGCAGTGCCGTTGTAACCTATTGTATAGTGTTATGGGGTCACCAATAAAGTTACAGATCTTTGGTAAAGCCCAGGTCACATACATGTAGGACATACCTACGATAGCAAACCACGTAAATCGCAGGTAAAATCACACATGTACAACATGCTGCTATAGAGAATTTTAGTTGTGTTTACAGTCACACGACGCTCTGTTGTGGCTGATTTTATCTGCGATTGACCAAGGACAAGGTACTCTGCTCTCATGATCTAACCTTATCTTGTGTTCTATCGTTTTGACGTATTCTGCCACGTCTTTATCTGTTCATACCCATGCTGAAATCTGTCGTCGCAGAGACAAATGATACTCAAAGGCGTGTAGTACAATGTATGTAAACAGGACTTACCTTTATTTTAACCGCCATGTACGCTTTCTTGTGAGTCAGACGCCACTGTCGTGCAGTCATGTGTTCGTTGTAGAGACACAAATGCCCGAGGGAAGGTATATAAAAACAGAAGTGTTTGTACCAGACCAGTAGACCCGCCCCGAGGACACAGTACTAGTAAGTCGTGTGTCCTCGGCCGACACCAGTACTAATGAATAGGGTGGGTTAAAATAACAAAGGTCTATGAACTAGAAATGCAACGTTTGTAAGCAAATGCAATATATATCATCCCCATCTCTTCTCCTTTGAAGATTAATTTTTGTAATATATGGACACTGAAGCTAAAAATACACATTTTGAGAATAAAAATGCCCAACAAAATTAATTCAGTGAACAGGGTTACTGAGCATTGAGACCCTTTAAAATCTTTGAGGGTCCAAACAATTACTCAACACTTACTCTCTTTGTTTTCCTTCTGTAGTTAACTTTTGTACCTGGTTAGGAAGCTTATTATGTTTATCTTATCATTTAGCCGTATAACTTTTTACAATAAAAAACAAACAGGCAAATAATTTTTATATGTGTGCTTTATTTGAAAAACGAAAACAGTTCAACAATCATAAAATATATACGTTTTTATTAAGTCATACAATCATTCTGCTGTATCACAATACCACTAAATAACACGTAACCGATGATCTCACTACTTCTCGCATATTCCTATATCCTGCACGGTATCGACCAGCTTGGTTGTGTCGATGTTGTAACTCTCTAACTTCTGCATGATGTTGCTCATGGTGCCGGCGGGAAGCGCGCGGTCCCGAGCCAGGATCCACAGAAACTCCACCCGGTTGATGAGGAAGTAGTCACAGGAGTACACGATGCTGTAGTTGGTGTAGTCTGTATCCACCACCCAGTAACTACCCCAAGGTTGGACTGATAAAAAAAATGAAATTGTTTGCATCAACAACTGAGTGAAAATGATGTTCTGAACAATTTATCGCATAAGTTACGGGAAGTTAAACTCATTAGTTCAGTAAGGTAAATTCAAACAATGATGAACCAAGAAGCCCAAATTTGACCTGAATTGATCTTCGTCTTCCCAAGACCTACCCACATACCAAATATCATATCAATCCATTCAGGGAGAGAGGGGGGGGAGAGAGAGAGAGAGGAGAGAGAGGGGGGATAGTGAGAGAGAGGAGAGAGTGAGAGAGAGAGACAGACAGAGAGAGACAGACAGACAGACAGACAGAGATACCACAAGCTTTCATGGAGTTAACAAGTTGTTCTGTTTATGAGATAAACGTATAACACGTGCCGTTTACAAACTATAGAGACTTACATGAGGAGAACCTGACTTGCAGACGCCCCGGGACGTCAGAGTCTGGGTCGTCTCGGGCCTGACCAATGGCCGAATCACTACTGCCATCTGCCCTGGAAAGTATTTAATGACATCATCTCAGTTATGTGTTATGTTATATATTAAAGGTGGAAGATAACAGCGTTCGCACTACTTTCTCATCCGGCATATTGTGACACAGGCCACTGGCATGTATCACTCCGCCACACAAGCCATGCCAGTATTAGAATTAACGTCTTGGAGTCGGTCTCTTTTGCGTTGTTTACTGAGAATACATGTATATAACAAATGTTAGAGAACAAACCAACACAAAATTATGTACATGTGACTAGGAAAGTATCTATTTCTATAATGTAAATGCATTTAATCTCGTTAAAGGAGGGGAAAATTGAAATATGTAGAAAAAATGGTTTCCAGCGCATATTACTTGCGTTCAAAAAGAGGTATCGGTCCGGGCTTACTTTATTTGTGTGTTGTTGACTGTTACAGTGCCGTCTGCCTCCAGGCGGTAGAAGGCGGTACCGCACTCTCCGTTCTGGAAACTGTTGGGGTATTTGGAGAGTTCATACCAGCGGCCCATGTACTGGAAGAAAATGGAGAGAACATTTAAAATATTGCAACAGCAACAATCTGAAAGGTAATACTCTGCAAATTTATCTGTTGTCAAAGAAAAAAGAACTGGCATATGATGTTTTCAAATTAATGATTAGATGTATAAAGTAGAGTGGATTTCATTGCTATTTTCTTCATCTTTCAAATCCTAAATGCATGTAAATATCATTCCTAAATGCATGTAAATATCATTCCTAAATGCATGTAACTAGCGCTGCTGTTGCACAAAGTCACATCATTTATCGTGTATATTTGAAACAACACGGTCGAAACGCTAATTTCCATGCTATCATTGGTTTGTATTCGTATCAGTATAGCCGGTATAACTGCCCTTCGGCGTAACACACCAGCTTCGCAGGCACGCTATATCACACCGATAAACCTGTTACACTTAATCTTTGCACATTCAATTGCAGGAGTTGTTTAAAGCTTTCTAGTGATGATGCCCCAACTGTACTTGCTTGGTAGCAACGAGTTCCAGTCTATGATAGTTCTTGGAAAATAGATGTACGCTGAATGTAATGGACAGTCAGGATTAGTCAGATAATTACCGGGACGATGTCGAAGTTCTCCTTGGTCGGGACTCTGGGACAGGAGTCTCCGAACCAGGTGATGAACTGTGCGTCAGCGACGGCCAGGAAAGCCAGGATTGCCACGGCGGAGACTCTCATGGTGTCGGTCTGTAAAATATGAACAATTGTTTATTGTGCGGATCTTGGGATATCTTAGCCTCCTGTGCAGGCCCCGCGGCGGTGGGGAAGAGTTTTTAACGCGTTATTTTGATATAGCTGGCCATCCTACATCCTACATAGCCGCCGACAGAGGGCTCCATGCCTTCTCTCGGCGGCTATGTAGGATGGCCAGCTATATTAAAATAACGCGTTAAAAACTCTTCCCCACCGCCGCGGGGCCTGCACAGGAGGCTAAGATATCTCTGGTCTTCGTAACAAGTACTACTACGTGGATTTAAATCGGGTTTGCAATGCCTGGCCATTTCTTGGTAATTTTTGTAGTAAAAAGGCACAAAGAAATACCACAAATCTTGACAGATATCACTATGGCAAACAAAGAGTAACATGTACCATGGAGTTAACGTACCTTTGGGTTGGATTGCCTGATTAAGATGTTCACACCGGCGCTGAAGTCGAGTATTCTGCTTCAGACAACGATATTAATCCAATTTATATAGCTTAGAATTATGCAACTTTTCACATTTACATAACTCAGGTTTCATAAGATAATCAAAGTTTGATAAGGTGAACGGAAGAAGCATCTAATGACCAATCAGCGACAAGGATGCGTAAAGTAAACAATGAGTTATGACATACTTACTTCTTATGTCTGGGAATACGACAGCTGTTTCTTGCATAATATCTCGAGTTCCGAGGACATCTTCCCTGTCATGTTGATTCAGCTTATCACGAGTTCATCATATTTGAGTTTTTGGGACCATTTTCTTTTGTGTTGTGGTGTCTGTGGTTTTATTATGTGTAATTATTGTGGTCTATGTAGTCTTTCTAATGATACTGTATTTTAACTTCCTAATGACTCTGTATTTTAACCTCCTAATGACTCTGAATTTTAACTTCATTATGTGCAATACTATAAACTTTTGGATTTTAAAATAATGAAATGTACATTGATTCGCAATTCAGTAATTTGTATTACGTTTACTGCCATTGATCAATAAATAATTCTTGAGTCTTGAGTCCTTTTATCAGAGAAAGTACAAGGGGTATTCGGATACAGTGTTATAATAAATGCCTTGTTAATCGGTGATGGAATTTCAATAAATTTGGTATATTTTGTATTCATGACAATGTGGTCTTTCAGAACACAGCACATGTGTCTGAGAGTTTTTTTTTAATTCCAACATTTCATGACTAGACATGGTGACGGCAAACTCAAGTTATATCAACTTATTTCATGCCGTCACCAACGCAGATAAAGGACAAATACGGAACAAGACAATACTCATTTTCACCTGAGACAAGTGAGGAAAGTCGTATTAAGTGCCTTTCCCAAGGGCACAAGATCGGTGGCATGTCAGGACTCGAACCCAGGACCTCTTGGTTCCGAGTCGTCCGAGAGTTAAGTAACCCATATAAGTCTCACGTGTACCTACGCGTGCGTTGGACCATCGGTACTGTTGGATATCCTGTGTCTGCTGAAACAATGTAAATATGCATTTGCTGTTTGTTCCCATCCGTTTAAGATTACACAACATCAAAAAGTTTTATGTAACTTTGATTACGTAAAATAGTAATATTGTATAAGTGTATGCTAGTATATAAGTTAGATCAATGGCATTGCTACAACCAGACCACTTCAGTTATGTTCTGTCCAGTAACCACCTCGGTAGGATTTTCGGCCTCCTAGCGGCCTTCCTTCGTACTGCTGCAGAAAGTCTGTTTTTTTTTTATCTTTCGTTCTGGACATTTATTCAATGATTTATCCGTTTATTCTACGAAAAGAATTTTTAAAAACATAGTGCATAACATACTGCATTACAACAACTTCACACCCTTTATTTTATTCGGCACTCCTCAGCGCCAGGAAAGGTTAATTGGTCGGGGTATGAGCATTGCCATGGATTTTTTTTGCCAAAGTCCCTGCCCGGCATAACTCGCGTCTCTCTCCGAAAAAAATTCACGCCGCCGCCGCATAAGTCTAAGGCAAGGCAGAGTTCACCCAGTGCAGAGCTAAAACTTTTAGATCAACGCTAATCTCCAAGCAGATCCCTATCGGTGGCAAAAAGACAGTATCAATTTGGCCAGGCAGTATCCATTGGCCAGAGAGGGTCCGCAGCCACCAGGGGGGTCAGGACAAAAAAAGCCGGCCATATATGAAAAGGTAACGATCATTCCCCCACAACCTCTGCTTGGAGAGTAGATCAACGCATGTGTTTGTGCTTCTGCCACTTTATAATTTATCATGGAGACTTATTTTTCCCAGGGACATATACCAAACCGCCAAGTATTAATATTTAAATGAAAACCGGTTGTGTAACATGATCTTTATTCACAACCTGAGGAGGCGTACACGCGCGTACGCTGACGTTTCAGGGACCTTCATTGGGGTCACACTGACTGGTTCGCACTGCCGCTAGGTGTCGCTGCTAATATAAGAATGCAGTTCCAATGCATTGTCGCATATTCTCGCATATATATGTATATATATATGAAGTCAAACCCTTCAGAAATAGACTTAAGTTATTTTATACTCTATTTCATTGTTCTTTTATGTTTTGTAATTTGCAATTAGCATCCGGGCACGAATTTGAAATAAACTTGTCAATTTTATATTGTACAAGTACATTGCTTTGGAAACTCATTCATTACCTACGAAATATTCCGGAAACAACTGTTTATAAAAATGAATTAAGCGTCGTCAAGCTACAGCAGACTGTGTGGTACTTGAAAGAATCCACTCTTTCTATTGTTTCATGCCTCCCGTGCCCGTCTCCTCAAAAATGTCTTTCCTCATATATACTTATCATTTTCATACATATCACTGTATTTTCACTGTATTTTCCATGTATGTGATTATGTAATTTTAATGTTTGAGCCTTAGAAGACTAGCCCATGAAACGAAATAAATGACATATATAGATTAGATAAGAATTACGTATCCAACTATTATACTAGTCTAGGTGGCTATGTTTTAGACTAACATACACTAATAATCAATCGTCCTCCCTACAATCAACTGAGTTATGAAAAATAATCCTTATTGTTTATTGTTTATTTGCACATATATAAACAAAAATTCATAATCAAATAATAACATTCAAAGAATATGCGGGGTAGGCCAGAAACCTAGGTGGTTTTTCAAAGGGCCTACCCCAAACAAAGGTAACTGATGACAAAACATATGAATCAAACATCAAAATTAAACAATGAAATAATTGATTGATTAAACAAAATCAAGACACAGAAATAATAACTGGAGTGTGTAGAAACTCGTTTGCATCTACGAAAAGAAATTAAAACAAAAGTCTTATACATGTAATTCAGGTCGCTGTTACAGAATAAACTGATTAGATAATTAACATAAAAATTAACGATTAAAACAAAAAAAACAAGGAAATCCTTCTCCAAGCATTGATTCGCGAGGTCCTGAAATGTATACTTCATGTGATTTCATCAGACAGACGTAGCGGCCTCTCTTTAGATTGTTGGTCATTTTACTATTTTGAGAAGGCGGAGAATAACAAGAGACAAAACTCTGGATATACTTTACAATAATTTATCTTAGATATTATATGTTATCTTAGATATTAACAACTTATCTGATAGTGCTACAGGGTATCTGTTACTCAATGGATCACCTTTACTTTCATCTAAAGTCAACTCTCAAATACTCACTATTACACAGCTATACCTTTCTGAAACCAAGCGATTTAATAACTGATTTGTAGTTCTGTATTCATTTAGAATAGCTTAACTCTGTTTTCTTGTTACCTGGGCGTTACCCATGTGTTGTAATTTTCATTTTACGTCTAGTGATGACGTGAATATAAGCATATTGCGTGAGTGCGTCACCACTATGTATTGTTTACACGTTGAAATTTAAAAAAATAATTTTATCCTCTCTCCACCTCTCTCTCTCTCTCTCTCTCTCTTTCTTACACTTCCCCCTCCCCCCACTCTCTCTTCTTTTCTCTTTTTCATGGATTGTTTCAAGATTGTGTAAACAACTTGCAGACAATTAAGTTTCATGTTTAAATTCATTCTTTACAGCCCGGCACAATCCAGCCGCGCGCTCTGATCTCCGTGTTCTGAGGATTTGCGAGCGAAATGAACTCTTCATATTAGTCTGCTCTGGGACCATTCTGCTCACTTTCACGTGGCATGAATTTTCGACACCACGTGATTACAAATCATGAGGACAACGATAATTTCAACCATATATTATATATTTAGCCAGAAGCTGTGCCCTTGTTGCCCAACGTGCTTGACATGATAACTGTACTAATGTTGAATATAAGACATAACCGATACAGCAAATTTTTTAAATGGCATCCGCCATGTTTCGTTTGCACTGGTCTTCGACTTAAATAGAGTTCATAATTCCTCCCACGCAAATAGTTAACATTAGTCTGGGGGGTCATGCCATTTCCAGGAATTTTCTGTCGTCTGTGCGAACTTTTAGAATGGTTATTTATTCGCAACCTTTAAGATAATACACTTCAAACAGTTCACAGCTGACACACATAGGCAGCTAAGTCGCTTTAGCTGAATTGGGTGTGACAAAACATAGAAGCAATTGGTCATACAATATAACAATAAAACCATCTTAAATACGAGCTAAAAACTGTATATATTTATAAAACTCTTGTTAAAAATACGTTGTGGCATCAGACTCAATTCATCACAAGTATTCTTACGTACATATCGATGTGTCAAGATACTGTCAATAACCTTGTTATTAGGGTTGCTGAATTATAATCTGCCGGTTCTGGCTTCCAAACCTGGGACACCCCGAAGTTAAGCCCTTGGGAATGACACATAGTGCACATAGTTCCTCAATGGACCCAAGTGAATTCGGTTAGAGACGTCCTTTCATTGTCTTCGTCAGAAGGACTATGAAATTGTCTCGCCGGAGTGTGGGGAACTGCGGGTTTTGCGATATAACTCTGGAAGGCATGATTCGACGTCCATGATTTTTGGCAGGCAGATTACCGCTGTTAAGGCCGAAGTCAAGTACAAGTTTTGGCTTCGTGGGGGGTCCGTGCGTCACGTTAGTGCACCTTTTGTGTTTGTGGCTTGTTAGCAAGATAACTCAAGTATTTGTAAAATGTTGATTATAATTCTTGGCGTGGTGCTTACTATTGTCAGGACCAAGGTTAAGTTCGTTACTGAGCTTCGTGGGGGGTTTTGTTGTGACTACAGGGGGCATTTTGTTAATTTTTCTTGTGAGCAGGATAACTTTTGTATGTATGGATGGAAGTTAATGAAATTTGATAGGCATATTACTGTCGTGGTCTCCAAGATTGAGTTCAAAGATGAGAGTCGTGGAGGTCGTTATGTCCCCGTAATAGGACCTTTTGTGTTTAGAAATCCCCCACCTACATCTGCTTGGAGACAGCCGACAGCTGGATATAGCGGGGAACCCCATAATGGGATGGGATCAAATGACGTTACATTGAGGGATTGTACTATAACTTCAGCAGGGGGAGGATAGGTTGGACATATGTCAGGTTATTTTCTACGCGTACGGCCACACCAAGTAATTGCTATGGATGACGTCCACTGGAGACCTTAAATCTAATTACCTTAAATCTAAGGCAAGCGCGCAATAAAAACACGAAGGGCCGAAAAACGAGATGCCTAGATTTGGAATATACTAACTGTAGAAGTACAAATGTTAGGACACAAAGAACACAAGAAACAAGTCTTCTATTTGTCATAAAGACAAATTAACAAAACAGCAGTAGTCACCCTGTTCTGATTCTTTCCTTTATAACATCTTTTCTTATTATATTTTGCGGCGCTGTCGTGACACTTTCAACACAGTAAGAATTTCTTGAACGTTTTTTTTCCAGTAACAGTCCAACTCAAATAACGTAGGGGGGGGGGGCTAACACGGGTGACGACGCATCTGTATAATCTGCGGCAAACCGTTTCAGGGTGTTCTGTACCATAGAAATAGTACAGAGATTCTTTTGTTCTTTAGACCAAATTGATTATTAAAAAGATTGAAGAATACGCATGTTAATTTCTCTAGAACGATGTACCTCTGACGAAGACATGAGATCTCCGACCTCTAGTTCAGGATGTAAAGCCGGAGGTCCCGTGTTTCAGGAGAGCCACATCTCGAGCACGTAAAAAAACCCACCACACTCATCGATAGGGGTCCGTACCGGTGTGAGCTGGTCAGATCTTACAATCGGGCCTTACACACATGGCATTTACTCTATAAAGCGCCTTCAAGACACTGAAATAAAGAAAGCTTTTAGAATGTACAAAAGGGGAAAAAAAGAGATGTATCGAATCTACATGTTGGATATTTCAACGACCAACGCATATAACGACACGCAACTTCGCATTGAACTTGCAATACTGTTGTTCCTGTTTTCTTTATGGCTCTGCAGAAAAAAAGCAGTGCAGAAATTTTGTTTGCTTTCTGTACATCATGAATATTGAAACTGTATTTCCTCCCTTTCGATTCCAGAGTACACATATATGATAGAGATTTCAATTTACGGCAGAGATCCCGATCGGAGTCTCCCGAACCCTGCAGGCTGTCTCTGACGACAGAGACATTCGTGATTCCTAATCTGTAGAATCAACGACTGATATTCTTCCACATCGCAATCTTAAACTCTCACAAATATATATTCAACGGCAGGTGGGGCCTAGGAAAAAATGTTGTGTTTCCTGTTTCCCGATCGACCCTATAAAAACCTGCCGAACCTAGACTTTTTTGGGGGGTGGACCCCTGCAAGGGACATAAATTTTCGAGCTGATCAACCTTTTCTAGCTCCATGATCTGACGGCTTAGTGATAAAATGTACAATTGGTTTTCTAACATTGACATTGAAAATAAAAGTGTCCTCATGCAAGTTTTACTTTATCAAACTGTGTTGTATAAGTTGGACCCCTTATGTAGATGTCACTGAAGTCTAAAAGAAAAAAGATAATCCCTACCTACCGACTGTAATTTTTTCAGGAATGAAACAGAAAACATTTTTTTTGCTAGGCCTAGGTAAGGTCTAGTGACGTAATGGCGCGATGCAAAGGTTGACTAGTCTGGGCTGAAGTCTTTGAATTCTTACTTCAGAACATTTGCCTGGTTGATTAAAATGTCACAGCAAGTTGTTTTTTTTTTCTTTCTGTAAAACCCAGACGCAGAAGGCGCGATTGCATCAGCCATCGCGCTCGAACAAACGTTGAGAGAAAAAAATTAATGTTTTTGATTAAGTCGTTCGTGTAGCCAATCGGCTTTAAGACAGCAGTGCAAGTGACGCACGCCCCACCCCGTGCGGCGTGTGGTATACTCCTGTGCCGCCGGGCGTGGTGTTTCAGTCGCCGCACACCTTTTCTTCTCACAGCTACGTACGCAGTCTTGCTCCGGGTCTGAAGTGGAGCGAGCGGACAACAGTGGCCGGAGGATGGGTCCTGCCGTCGCCACCGTGTCTACCGTGCTGCTGAGCCTGTTACTGTTCATCCCAGCAACGCTGCCGGATTATATGGACGAAGGTAAGGCGCTTCACGGTCTGGAAGGTGTGGACATGTTCTCTTCCCTCATGTTGTCGTATTTTTCCTACATTTCAGTGAAAACGTCGGAGTGAGCTAGCCTCCACAGCAGGCTTATAGAACTGGGGGTTTGGTGGTCTTCGGCTGTTTTCTGATTAGCCCAGTTCTAACGGGGGTAATTCAACCAGGCCGGCTATGTTGTCTATATGCAATCAGAAAATAGCACACAAAAGCTCCCAGACACCCTGAAGACCCCCAAAACCCCCAGTTTTTGGCATGCTATGGAGGCTAGGAGTGAGCCACATGCCCGTTATGATACGTTGAAACTTAGACGTACCGAAGGAAATCTCTTTTAACAATTCATTTCGTGCAAAAAAAAAGTGTCATGATCAATATGTCCGATTTGAAAAGACATGATTTTTTTGTATCGCGAAATTGAAAAAAAAAAAGAAGAACAAAACACCAGTGTGCAACTTCCAGAAATCATATCTAATTTTCTTTGTAATAAAAAAAAAGGGATCCACACCAGAATAGGAGGTCGGAACTTAAACGTAAACTTAAACTGAAATGGTACGCACGCACTACTCTCCAAGCAGAGGTTTGGGTTTTGGGGGTATTTTTAGTGTGTTTTTAGGCTTTTTTTATCGGGGTTTCTCTTTTGCACTGAATTTTTTTTGCACTGAAAAAAATTCAGTGCAAAAGAGAAACACCGAAAAAAAAGCCTAAAAACACACTAAAAATACCCCCAAAACCCAAACCTCTGCTTGGAGAGTACGCACGCACCAAAGACGGTAAAAACGGCAACACGTACACACAGCTACTGCCTCCTGAAATAACAATGTGTCTAGTACATCGTCATCATATGAAGTGTCTAGTACATTTGTATATATAAATGTGTAATGATGTGTTATGAATTAAGGGTGCGATAGAATCTACGTGACAGAAAATACGCCATTGCTCCCACAGCAAATGTTAGAGTCATGAGAGATGACATGGTTTTTTTAGAAGGTGGGTGTTTTTGCTAAATTTGCTGTAAATTTGTAGCCTCCTTCGCAGTCTTGTTGGGGGTCGGCATTATTTTTTTCTGAGCGACGCGAGTAACATGCCGCCGCGTGGGACGATTTGCTGCCGAGGGAGTTTTTGGATTCGCGGTTGACCAAGAGTTGACCAAGGTGTTGGACCTAGTTGAGCAGATTTGCGATGGTCCGAGTTGGTAATGGTCCAAGTCGTCCTGTTTCCCTTCGTGAAATAATGAAATTATTTGTACAAAATCATATTGAATGTAGGAGGTGGTTAATCTACAAGCAGATCGCTTTCGGTGGTAAGACGGTATGCATTTGATTAGCCTTCGGTGGCCGGCAAAACTCCTCTGGCTAATGATACTGTCTTGCCACCGAAAGGGATCTGCTTGGAGATTAACCACCTCCTACCTACAAAATGATTTTGTACAAATAATTTCATTATTGTAAAGAGGGAAAACAAGATTTTTTTCGCAAGTTACGGATTTTTTTACAAACACCTGCCTGCCAACCACTTGGTCCTTGGCCTTATCTGCATTTTCTCGGGGACTGTACAATAACTACCCGGGGGATGTGGTGCCGCCCACGTGCCGGGGTTTGTTGTAATTGTCTGGCCTGGTTGGGATGATTATAATCTCAAAGCAGATGTAAGGATCAGCATCAGCCCTGGTGTTATACGCGTGTGCTTGCAGCATTCTAGAGGCACAACCGGTGCAATGGCCGAGTGGGTAGAGTGAGGTAGGTCGTGAGTTCGATCCCAGACATTAAAAATGGTACATACTGCGTTCTCTGCTTAGCATTTCGCATTTCAGAACGAGTATGGGAGTTAAACACTTAAAACATACACCACTACCAGTGGACTGCTTCTTCTTCTTCCTCTAGTATGAGGTGCAGCTAGTGAAGTTTTGTCTCCAGAAAAGTCTGTCAGTCATTGCGGACAGAAGTTCCGATCGTTGCAGACCAGTTTCAGACTCAATGAAACACACATTTAAAAAAAATCTTAGAGTGCGCCCTCAAGCAAGAGCGCATCACTAGAGATAGACGTAGACACGCAGACAAGGTCGCAAACGACACACGGAGCCCAGCCCGTTTCAGCTGCTTGAAGATTAAGAGGATCAGCCACGAATGTGCCTTGAGATTATCCTCGAGCTCCGTCGTTGAACAACGGCAAAATAAAATAGACGGTGTCTCAACAGAGGACACTTTAATCTCCAAGAAGATCTTTCGGTGGGGGTAAGACAGTATCAAAAGACACTTTTAATACTGTCTTAGCTCCGCTTCACACTGTGGCTCCGCTTAAAGATCTGCTTGGAGATTAACTTTGGCACAGGGTTTCAAACACCGACCGCTCCGCCCACTGCAGACTTAATCATTGTGCAAGACTCTGATACAGAAACAACAAGGTACATGGGAGATTATAGTGTCCACAGCGTTTTGTTTGTTGTTTGGTTTCTTCATTTTGTTGTTGTTCTCTTGTTTGACTTTGTACTGGTTGGTTGGTTGGTTGGTTGGTTGGTTGGTTGGTTGGTTGGTTGGTTGGTTGGTTGGTTGGTTGGTTCTGTATCTCTATCGGTATAATAGCCGGTATAACCGCCCTAGCTCCCCACGATCGGACCAAAGCTAACAAGGCTGGACTCCAGGCTAGGTTAACTCCGACCGGGCTCCGCAGTCGGGAGGACGCCGCCGGCTGTCGTGGTCATGATTAAAATTTTCCTTTGCGCTGCCCTGTACGGGTCTCCAGGACCAGGGTCCAAGGCCAGGTAGAAAAGTCGGGGGCCTGGCTGGGCAAAAAAGAAAAGAAGAGCCAGGCAGCGGAAGAGTTGTCTTTTATATCATATTTTTAGATCCCACAAACTACCCCACTGTCGGCCCCGGGTTGGGAACTGTGGCCTTAGCATTACCGGTGATGCTTTCTAGCTCCCAAGCCAGTTCCGCCCCGAGATACTAGTACTAGTATTGTTAGCCTTGGCTGCTGGAGGGACGAGCATACCGACAGAGGGGACCGAACCACGTCTACGGGGGGATTCGGGGCTCGTACGAACGCCATTCAGGTGATTTAGAGTAGCCTTCATAGCATGCCAAAAACAGGGAGTTTTGGGGTCTTCAGGGTCTTTGGGAGCTTTTGTGTGCTAGTTTTCTGATTGCATATACATGTAGACAACATAGCCGGCCTGGTTGAATTACCCCCTAATCAGAAAACAGCCGAAGACCACCAAACCCCCAGTTCTATAAGCCTGCTACGGAGGCTAGATTTAGACGTGCTGCCAGGTGGCCAAGGCCTGAGGCTTCGGGAGCGGCAACCGGTACTCTTTAGCGGACCAACTTCCCTGGCATGTTATCTTTCTATATTTGGCCAATTTCTGCTCTTTCCAACCGCTTCCCGAGGGCTGGGAGAGGCTTCTGTAGCTCTTCGAATTCGGCGGGCGCTGGTCAGGTTGAATAAAAGTTCTAAACGGGAACTATGCGGCTCCAGATGTCTTACTGAGGGACGACTGCGTGTGCAAGATGTCGGTAGCTTGAGGAATGAATGCCCTCTACTATATTCGGCGGACGCTGGTCTAACCTTGGCAATTTTCAATTTCTGTGTCGGAAATTAAAATCAAAATTCAACGTTGTGTGCGAAGGATTCATAAGCACTAAAAGAAAATGGTTGTAATATAGTCATGGTGAGAACTAGTACTTTACAACACACTAAAGCCCATGTCACACATAGCCGGTCATGGCTCCATGGCCTTCTCCAGACCACGGTTGGGAGTAAATCCGATGGCGTCTGGTGGTGTAGTGGTTAGAGCAATCGACTATGAACCGGGAGACCCGGGTTCGATTCCGAGTCGTACCCGGTACATGTCTGAACATGCGCCCCGACGTTGTGCCCTTGGGAAAGGCACTTTACACGACTTTCCTCACTCCACCCAGGTGTGAATGGGTACCTAACTTCGGTTGGGGAAAGTCGTATTGAGGTCACCTTGTGGCGCCGAATGGCAGCCGCACAGACCCTTGCGACAAATATGTGTATCATGTGTATTATTTGATTGTTGTAATTGTTGTGATTTGTATTGATTATGCGATACCCTGCATCAATTCAGCCGTATACAGGCTGCGACTGCACGGGTACTGTTTGGACAATAAAAACCATTTATTTGGACAATAAAAACCAAATCGCGATCAAGGTTATCTGTGGTTGGCAGTTGATCGGCGAGGTTGCCTTCCGTAGTCCATAGAAGTCGTCTGCGCCACCAGAATATATGATTTAATCAAATTCGGGAAAGTCAATATTCTGCTTTATTTCTTTATTTCTTTATTTGAATTTACCACAAGCAAAAACAAGTGGAAGGGAGGACAAAACAGGTGTATCAACGCCTTTACAAGTTGTCCTCCCAAACCTGAAATGATAATACAAAACAATACGACACCAAGAAAAACAATAAACATTAGACATCAAAAATCAGTAGACATGAAATATACAATTCGGTAAAAATTATACACAGAATTAATTATGTACAAAAATTATCAAATGTCATTATGTACAGAGTTAAAAAGCTAATTATGATACTAAGCAGCCTTAAAGCAGTGCATGAGGCACACCCACAAGATGTGGACCAGGAGCAGGGGACGTAGATATTGAACTGGGTGTCAAATCTGAATGTCTGCTTGGGTGCGATCGATCAGAGGAACGAACCGGAGCCGAAGAAGGCTGAGTTCCAGGCTACCCCCAACCAAGGAGCTTCAACAATGTTTAACGTCCTTGTCCCAACCCAGCGCCGACCTACTCTCCAAGCAGAGGTTGTGGGGGAATGATCGTTACCTTTTTATATATGGCCGTGTTTTTTTGTCCTGATCCCCGTCGGTGGCTAATGGAGCTTCTCTGGCTAATGGATACTGCCTGGCCAATTTGATACTGTCTTTTTGCCACCGAGAGCTAGGGATCTGCTTGGAGATTAGCGCCGACCTTGGTTGCATTGGAGAGTCTCTCTTAAGCTTCAACCTCCTTGTCGGGAGCAAGTCGTGGGAGCAAGCCGTCACACGAAATGTCCCTCGGTCCTAGAGCTCCGGAGCTAGACAATATGAGCTAATCTCATATTATGTAACTGTAGAAGGTTTCAAATTTACCTAGCTTGCTTTTGAATGACATGCCGATGTTTTTATTCAACTGCTTTTAACATGTTTTTACACACGTAATATGTGTAATTGCCTAGCCTCCGTAGCAGGCTTATAGAACTGGTGGTCTTCGGCTGTTTTCTGATTAGCCCAGGTCTAAAAACGGGGGTAATTCAACCAGGCTGGCTATGTTGCCTATATGCAATCAGAAAATAGCACATAAAATCTCCCAAAGACCCTGAAGACCCCCCAAACCCCCAGTTTTTGGCATGCTATGGAGGCTGGTAATTGCACGTGATCTTGTAAGCAACGATTTTAATGTAACTATCAACAGATTCCGTGTAATATCATGTAAATGTAACATGCAGCTTGATTGCCATCTGATGCTGAATCTGGAATTCGAATGTACTGCTTTCCTTCCAGTCGTGGAAACCAAGACCGTGACTATTGACTGTGGGGAACGCCTGACTCTTTCTTGCAAACGTGGCGTCTTACTCATCAAGTCAGTGGATCGCATGCCGTTCCGATGGTCGTTCGCTCCCGGATACGGTCTTCGACTCAGTGCAAGTGACATCCGCAAAGCCTGTGATAACAAACCCCGATGCACCGTCATTCCCAGCCATTCTTCTTCCGAATGTTATGGAAAATCAGACAAGGTCAAGTATTCTTGCAAAGGTCGGTATACAACATTATTACCACGGTGACACCGTGAAGAATAGTAGGTCGATGTTTTACTGCAAAAAAATGTCTACATAACAAGTTATAAATTTACGTAAAAACAAGCGCTTTGAAATGTTTAGGAAGCTGGCGTTTTATATAGGCCGGAATGTGTTGTCTTCTGTGTAGGATTCTTTCATGTGTACATTTCCAGTATTGCTGTTTTATATAGTAGTGATGGCTTTATGTAATTGTATTGCAATGTCAAGATCGATGGTACTCCAGGAACTTACCTGTGTGTAGACATTGTGATGATCTGTAGCTATCAAACAATTTGAGGTGCAAAAATACACATGAAAAGCCACAAATGAACCACAAAGAGCCCTTTTCTCTTGGCATGCGTTGACTGACATAATCTAATGCTAATTATGCAAATCAGTCCCCAATTTACATAACTGATGGAGAATTTTATTAACTTGCCAGTAAGCTGCATTTCACAATGGATCTTTGGAACGTTTGACTTATATAACTCAGAAGGAGAGGAATATTGACGGACGTGTCAACGTTGGATATTCATGGGGATTCGCTAAAGAAACAATTTGCTCTTGAGAATTCAACTGGAAATTCATTGTGAATCAAAATGGGTTATGTAGAGGTTTTAATAAACTATACATTTTTGCATATTTTACTTGATGATACTGCAATCTTACCCTGCAACTTACATAGACATAATGCAATTCTTACACAAATACAGTACGCCATCCGTGCAATCCGGACCCATGTAACCACGGTTCCTGCTGTGCCAACGGCGACCAATACACCTGCAGGTGTTACCCTGGCTGGGACGGAAAGAACTGCAACCACCGTGAGTGCTTTGTTTGGAAGTCTAGACAAATGCTAGATGGGATATTACAGATATGAACACTCTACCGGGCCTCAGAAGCGGGTGGAAAGAGATAGCAAGAAATGTATTGGCCAAATAGATAACCAAGTCAGTTGGTCCGCTAGATGAGCGCATGTTGCCGCTCCTGAACACCATTCGTCGACAGAACGTAACTGCACCTGTTTTTATCTATCAATAATTCTAATTACTGACAAAGTCAATTACTAACAATATAACTAATATATAGACACCTTTGACTCACCAGCATGGCACAGTACGCTACCTCAGTTGCAATGCCTTAACATCCTAGCTTCCTGTGTAGGCTCCGGGCGGGTGGGAATATTTTGATACAGCGTTTTGTAGAGTTTTTAACGCGTTCTTTTAAATAGCCAGCCATCCTACAACCAGCCACCTAGAGAAGGGCGTATTCCGCCCACGGGGCCATCCCAGTTCAATGTGAACCTAAGGTAGCACTAACGACTGCCACACAGACTCACATCTCACATGATGTGTAGTTAAGCACTCACTGTAGACCATTCCAACTTAGTTTATGGAGTCCTCCCAACGCAGATAAGACACCATGCCGTGTTTTCCATAGCGGGAAAGGAGTCCACTTTTTTTCACGTGTTTTCGTACACAGGAAAGGACTGCTCGCCAAACTCATGTCAGAATGGTGTCTGTCGACCTTCTGGGGCGTTCTACCCTTACCCCCGCTATACTTGTCGTTGTCACGACGGTTGGACTGGAGATGACTGCGACCGTAGTAAGTCATCCTCCTTTGGTCTGCAATCATTTTACCTTCATCAAGGACATTATACTTGCCTTCGCCAAGGAGTTTATGTTCCTTTTTTTCACCTCCTTGTGTGGGAAGGATTTGTTTTATATGTGTCTGTCACCTTGTGTGTCCCTAGTTAGGCCATGTTGATTTGATTATATGGATGACATCCTCTGGGAACCTCAAAACTGATGCGAGCGTGTGAATAAAAAAAAAGTTTGGACAAAAAAAAAAAGTTGCTTCAACATGAAATCTACGTGGTCATGAAGGTTAAACAAATGACACAGAGACATCCAAAATGCCTAACATAGGATGGAATAAAATGCAAGTAACAGTGTCTGCATCCATGTTGCCGTGATGTAAACACGCTCCATTGTTCACAGAGATGAACCCGTGTATGCAAGACCCATGCAAGCACGGCAGGTGTGTGCAAGATGCCAGTCGCTCGTCCGGGTACATGTGCGATTGTAACTTTGGCTGGACAGGAGAGAACTGCAACCAGGGTGAGTTACGTCAACTTGAACTTGAAAAACAGGAGTTTCCCTTTACTACATTTATTGCCTACTAGTATTCTGTGCATTTTTTGTTCTATTGCTGTCTTTGAATGTGTAAATTTGTTGTTGTACATTTGTGTTTTTTGTATGGGGGAGGGCGACTTGTAAAGGTGCGTATGCACTAATGTTTGCCTTCCCTTTCAATCACTTTGTGGAAGATCCCAATGAACAAATAAATAAACAAATATGTACCATGTGTTCTTCCAAAATTACATTGTTTGCTACACAGAGGACAACCCCTGTAGAGGAAACCCATGTCGACAGCATGGCAATTGTCGGAAGGTGGTATCGAGCAATCCCCCTGGCAGATACAGGTGCGAATGTCATTCTGGCTGGACTGGAAAGAACTGCAACCAACGTAAGTAGTCAACTTGATTAATAGTTGTTTTATTGCAAATTCATGCCCGAGGGCTAATCGCAGGAACAGGAGAAACTACTAAGAAACTACTAGTAAAAACTACTGGCTTTGACTTCTTTTTTTAAGACAGAGGAAGACAAAGGATCCCACTTTTTCTGTAATTTGTGGGTTTTCGGATGTTAAGAGGAGAGTAGTTTCATTCAGCAAACAATTATACTTACATCATAGTAACACAATTACAAATACCTGTTTCTTCGGATTCAGAGCCAAGACTGATAATCTGATTCATTGGTCCACTGCAGGAGATTTCTGCCATGTCAAGCCATGTCTGCATGGGACTTGTGAAAACGAGGCGAACGGATTCGGATGCAAGTGTTTCAGCGGCTGGAGTGGAAAACGTTGCGACAATGGTATTGAGTAGAGTAGCCTTTAGGCCATACCAATTTAATTTATTGGTTCATGGATTCACCCGCTTCACTTTTTTCTGATTTGCAAAAAAAAAAAATTCAGACTGCAAAATGCTCATATTTTGTAGTGAACAGTTGAAAACAGTCCTTTTCTTCCTGGCTGTTACAGTTATTCCATCTTTCAATGCAATGGTATCATTGAAAGTTCTAAATTTATTGTTTAAATTTTGAACCAGCCTGGTGTGTTGACTTTATGGCTCCTATCGTACCATTTTTTTATGGTTAATAAGGACCAGCCTTTTTGTAAATCCAGTATTACATGTAAAATATACTTTCTAATGTGATGACACAGACAACAATTCTTTCTGCCTGTTGTTAGATATCAACGAATGCTACACCAAACCCTGCCGCTTTGGGATGTGTGCCAACACTGCAGGCAGCTACAGCTGTTACTGTGATCGCGGATGGACTGGACTCAACTGCACCAAAAGTATGTCACCACACGGCGCAATGGCAGCTAGTATACATGACCAAATGACCTGTTACACCCAATCATTGGTTGTTTAGCATTATCTTTGCAGGTTCAGTTTCAGTTCAGTTACTGAGCACACATCAATCAATCAAACAAACATTGCCTAACTTAGGATATAAAACTATTATCTGCACTCTTACACATTAAAAGGTGAGGAGACTGCTTGGGGAAAACTCTGTGGAGCACACCACACAAGCACACCACTACAATGCTTCAATGAGAAGTTATGAAGTCACGTGATGATGATGCGCAGATCAGAGTTCAGAGGCAGCTAATAAACTCCACACATTCATTGCCCAATCAAAAAGATTCTGTGCCTCTTCCAGCTGAGCCTAACTTAACATTCATTTTGCTGTATAGTTATATAATAATTCATTTTAATTATAGGTGTAATTTATATGAAAATTGTATACTTGTGTATAATCTTGCTTTAACTATTTATTGTTGTTGTTTTTTTACGTCATATGTACAGGTATGTGTTGGGTGTGCACGCTATCAGCAAACTTGCTGCCTAGTGCACACTTTGTATTGTCATGTCGCAATTTTGAATAAATAAATAAAAAAATAAATAATAAACTGATTTGATCGACTGCCCAAATAATCCCAATTGTCTCACATTGACCAAACCTCTCTGTTTTCTGCAGAGACAAGTGACAAGGCTACAGTGTACCTAAACCACGATTCCCGCACACGGCTTGTCTGCCTACACGGGGTTCTAGACGTCGTCACTGCTCAGTACAGGCAGGATCCCACTCACACATGCGAGTCCCTGGTGTGCCTTCCCTGCAACGACCTCCGTCTGGATCGCTACGCTACGACCAGCATCCAAGGAAAGTGCAACGGAAGGTGGCACTGCGACGTCGTCGCCACTCCGAGCTTTCTGGTGAAGGGACGGGATCCGTGCGGCCATGTGAAGAAACGCCTGGAGGTCGACTATCGCTGTGTCGAACGTGAGGCCCAATTATTAGCTTCCTGGATGGAAGGATTGTTTTCTGTATATGTATCTGTATAGCTGGTATAACCGGCCTTCTGTGCAACACAGTGTGTCCAGCTTCTGCATAACCGCCCTTCTGCACAACACTACACACCACCTTGTGTATCTGTATAACCGGTATACAGGGTAACCACCCTTCTGCGTAACCAGGTTCTGTATCTGTATAGCCATCTGTATAGCCGGTATAACCGCCCTTCTGTGCAACACACCAGCTTCTGTATCTGTATAGCCGGTATAACCACCATCCTGCTCAACACATCATCTTCGCAGGCATGCGGCATGGTGGCAGCTGCCTACATTTCCATCTGGCCCTATCTGCAGACGCGTCCAGGGCTGTGTCCAGAGTCAGTCCCTTCTCTTTTAGGTCTTTCTGTTTTAAATATCAGGGCTCACATAACATTAATAAGTCAAGTGGGTTGCATTGCAGAGATAGGCTGTTTTTGCTTGCGAAAAGTGGCCTCAATTTACGCTCCTCCTAAGACAACGATATTTTTCGTGTAGCTGCAACTAAAGCGGTGACAACATCCGGACGTGCAGAGAGCATCGCCGGACCGAGTATGACCGTTCACTGCCGCTCGACCGGCGACCCCCCGCCCAGCATCATCTGGCGTCACGGCACAAACATCATCACCAACGACGACAACGAGAAACACACCGTCATCCAGAAGAGGGGCCGAAGCGGCAGCGAGGCGTACGTGGAGGCTAGTCTCACCATCGCGGACTTACAGGGTGACGATCTGGACAACCGGCGTTACGTCTGCTGGGCAGGGAACAGCGCAGACAAGGCGAGTGGAGCCTCGTCCATGGTCACAGGTATGTGTGTACACAAAAGACCATATTGGCATCCATTCTTCTTTTCCTTTCCACCTCCACCTTACCTAAAGAAACACAGAGCTTCTGCTTTGTACGATTTACGGTATGGTGGCAACCTTTTTTTTAAAACCAACCACTTGAGTGTCACTTTAGTTGCCGCACACGAAGATATTAATTGTCATCAAAATCTTTAGATATAGGGAGAAACAGAATTTGTTTGGCCTCTCAAACCATACCATTTACAACACATACAGCTACCGTTCCCAACCACCTGTTCAGCATTCACTGTCTATATCAACAAAGGCAGATGCTGACCGCTATATTCATGTCTTGTCCTGTAGTTTTGGTGACTGGAATATTCATCACTGTTGCCGGGATCGGAGTCACAGCTTTCACTGTCTTCTACTTCAGGTGAATCACATTACTCTAGTCTTTGTGTGTGTGTTTGTGTGTGCCAGTGTGTATGTGCGTGTATGTGCGTGGGTGTTTTTGTATGCGTATGCATGTGTGTGTGTTTGTGTGCATATGTTTGTGTGCGCACGTGTTTGTGTGTTTGTGTGTGTGCGCGTTTGTGTGTGTATGTATGTGCGTGTGATTGTGAGTATGCATGCATGCAATCAATCATCAAAATCTATTGTAATTTCTGGTCCTTTTATTGCTACACTACTTTTAGAGTACTAAGAGTTTTTATGTACATGTTCATTTCCTATGAGTGCCCAGCATAAGACGATTACAGAAGATTAACTGACCTGTTGCATGTGTTGTGCTTTCCCCGTTACCAAGGAAACATCACAACAGCCCAACAAACCTACCCGGGTCAGCCAGCCCGATGCCAGGCCGCCTAGGCCTGCGACCACTGCCGAGTCTACCGAAACCTGGAAGTACGGTTCATCATAATGCATAATCTTAGCCTGGGTACCATCCCGGTTAGTTTACGTCCCGTCCTACAGTTGCTACCACCAACCCTGGTGGTAGCAACTGTGGGAGCTGACGTAAACTGACCGGGATGGTACCCAGGCTAGCACAATCTGGGATGGAAGTTTTGTTTTGGGTGGTGCTGTTTTAGGGGGAGTTTGTATGTTTGATGTTTGGGTTCTGAGGATGTTTCTTGATATTGTACTTATTTAGTAAAGAGACTCTTTTTACACAACCAAGTCTTCTATTCAGCTGACGTTTCGGTGACCGCCTGTCACCTTCCTCAGGGCAAATCTGACTGGTTCACATTGCATTACAGTATGGGTGTCACTGCTTTAGATGCATACCCAAACGTAAAATATTTACATACATTGTATCTACACATATGCATGATTGCCCTGAGGAAGGTGACAGATGGTCACCAAAATGTCGGCCGAATAAAAGACTTGGTTGTGTAAAAAGAGACATTACTCTTAACAAACTGATAAAACTATTCACAGATATTCACTGTTTAAATGTATGTGCATTTAAACAATACATGTAGTATGGAGTATGCCCGGGATGCCAAAAGGACCACAGACAGCTGTTGCAATCTTGGACTTCCTCAAGCCCATTCCCGTCACCAGGCTGAAGAAAGAATTCAATATGAGGCTTGCCAACGATGAAAAGCTGTTCACAGATGAATATGAGGTAAGTACCTCCTGTCAGATATGTTTTTTATATACTTCAGTCTCTTTTTCCAGCAGAAAAAAATTGTACAGGTTTTCATGTCACACATCTTTTTGCAAGCTATGAATGATTATGTTTACTGAAGGGAAACATATTGTTTTTGCTCAGTTTCTTCTTCTTCCATTCCAAACACTATAAGTTCTATGAACAAGACCAGACATCTCTCACCATGGTAACTGGTGTTGGGTTACATAATGTTGTAAGTGCGATGCATAACTTCATACTTCAAGAAGGCCATGCATTGTCACCATACATATGAATGTGTTTGGAATAAGAATAAAGAACAAATGAAGCAGTAGTTTGTTAAGCTGGGCCATATGAAGGTAAACAATGCATTTGCTTTGCTAATGTTACCTTTCTAGTTGATTTTGACATGAGTACTTCTGTCTAACCAGGCTCTACCCAAACTGCTGGGAGAAGAACATTCTCAGGCCTGTCAGAAGAACAGGGACAAGAACCGCTTCAGGAACATCATCAGCTGTGAGTACTGTCAGATTTATACACCGTTTTCACACATTTTTCATCTCAATGAAGTTGGTAGATGCTATCCTGGTATCCAGTCTGATTCGTGGTCGGGGCCGAAAGAGCTCTGTCCCGCCCGCCTCACTTAGGTTTCCCCGTGTGTATTTCACGAGAGATTGATTAGCCCTCCACGAACATCGTGTTGGGGGAAACCAAATCCCCAAGCATACTGTCTCTTATTAGCGTAACACTCCTACCTGGACGGCCTGTTGCACTGGGCGGGGGATTGACTATTAGAGCCCCTGAAGGCACAACCTGCTCGAACACCCAATACCCCCAATCACGTAAGACTGGATACCAGGCTAGTAGATGCTGACTGCCATGTTGGTGTCCTCAATTTTCCTTTTTTTCATTTCTCAAACATCCACAGTGTTTTTAATTTCATCGACAAGATTTTATGTATCTGTGAGCTATACACGGTTTAATAGGTGTTAGTTGAGAGTGTCAGATGGTCTCTAGGTGTCTGAAAATGCAGATTGCTGCGTCTGCCTCAATGTTCTAGTTGCACAAGGTCAGCATTATTTGTTCATGGCAACTCTTCTGTTCACATTGTATTTCCAGTTGAGTGAAGTGTAGTACGCCAATGATATCCCATGCACATTGATTGATTGAAGTCTTAATTGTCAAACTTTTGATATGTACTAGCCGTAACTAAGGATGTATGTTGTTGGAAGCAAAGCAGTGGTAGAAATCCTTTTTTTTTTCACTACAAAATTGTAACAGTTGTGCAAACCTATGTGTATTTCTTTCAACAGATGACCATAGCAGGGTCATTCTGTCACTGCTTGATGATGATCCCAGGTCTGACTACATCAATGCCTCTTACATTGACGTAAGTGCGAAACTTGTCTGACTATATTTTGGCAAGTGGTAGAATCTTTTATGCTTACTATTACAATTCACATTGTGGCATACCTGTCAAAAACTTAGACTCAAAGGTTGTACTCCCATCAAGCTCTTCTAAATTCTCAGCAGCTTCACAATAACTTTTGTAGAAAAAATTAAAACTTTCTAAAATCTGGATGAACAACATTATTTATTTAGTGGCTACATTTGTATCATTTTAGATGGATCTGTTTGTTGGGATGCTTCTTTTGTATGTAACGTTACTCATTCTTGTATCGTAGGGCTACAGAGAGGAGAGGAAGTACATAGCAACTCAAGGTAAGGTCTGCTGTGTTACTCTACAGCAGTCCAGATATTCTCTTTTCTGTTTATTTGTTAAGTTTCTGGATTTTCATTTTCTAAGCAAAAAATCAGTCTGCTGATTGGCACCTCGGACTATACAAATCATGATGTTTCAGCCGACATCCCTACTTTCCGACAAATCTGGTTAGAGTAAGGTTACTTCTGGCAAGGAAGTACTGTTTTCGGTGGCCCTAGTTTATTCAGAGTTTGTATGTAGCAGCAAGGATTGGAAGTGAGAGTGTTTCAGTTGATCCTGTATGACCTGGGTGCCATGTCAGAACATTGGGGTGAAAGCACTAATGATGTACATATTTCAGACGTTTCACGGTTTGTGGGCATGAAAATAACATGTCTTGAAAGTTCATCTGCATCTGCTTCATAATAACAAGCTAACCAAGTGTATAACACATGGATTTCCTAGGACCAATGCAGAACACTGTTCAGGACTTCTGGCGCATGATCTGGGAGACCGGGTCCTCGACTATCCTCATGCTGTCCAACCTGGTGGAGAACTGCCAGGTAAAGTTGAACTGTAGCCGGTATAACCGATCTTTGGTGTAACACACCAGATGTGATATACATGTACAAGTATCTGTATATCAAACGTGATATACAAGTATCTGTATTTCAAACACTACTGTATCCTATAACATAAACATTGAGTATCAGTCATTCTAATACTAGTCTTCAGTACAAAGTAAGCGTTTGTAATGAAGGAGACATGTTTGTATGCGAGTGTGTGTGTGCATGTGTGTTCAATTGTGTGGGTATGCGTGTGTGTGTGTGTGTGTGCAAACGCGCGCGTGCGTGTGTGCGTGTATGTGTTTTCGCCAATTCTGATCACCTACACCTTCCCCTGACTAATCTTTTCATTCTGCTGCTCTCTAGAACAAGGTTTGCAAGTACTGGTCTGAGACGGACACCATGATTTACGGAAACTTCCGTGTGACCCTGGTTGGCACCAACAAGATGGACTACTACATCGCTCGTACTTTCCAGCTCACAAAGGTACCCATTCCTTTAATATTTGATGAAAACTGATCAATACATACAACACATCTCTCTTTCATGGGTCGCAAAACTATATGAAATCATAATTCCAGTGCCAAATCGAATTGTGGGCAAGGTCAGAGATTAATTAAGGTTCACAGAAGTAAACAAATATCCATATTGCCAATGGGTTGATTAGTACTACCGGTAGTACTAGTATATTGCAACAATTCCACAAAAGTTTGGGTGGAGCAAATATATTATTATATGTATCATGTGTATTATGAGATTGTAAACCCTGCATCAATTCAGCGCTATAAAAGGCTGCAATTGCACGGGTAATGTTTGACCAATAAACCATTTGTTTACAAGGGAGAGATTTAAAATATACAAAAGTACACTTGCAAGATATCTACATTCCGCTGAATTTGTTTATTTGGATCCACAATTTCACTCAATTTAGCTTGACAAAAGACTCTATACTTCCTGTGGTCCTTAAAGGTACCCGTGTTTGTTTTCAAGTTTTCTGTGATGATTCTCAAATATCACTTATTCTTATGTGTATGAAAGTAGATCAGCTTCTTAGAACAGTTAGAACTGTCACCTCTTAGAACTGTTAGATATTGTAAGCATCACCGACTATGTATGTATATTTTGCCATATGTCGTATCTGTTAAACCTGTTGTGCAATAAAGTTCTTCTTCTTCTTATTTTCCCATTTTTCCGTAAGGACAATGCTGCACGACGCAAGGTTACCCAGTTCCACTTCCTGGCCTGGCCCGACTTCGGCGTTCCGGACGACCCGACTGACCTCCTGAAGTTCCACCAGACGGTGATGGCGTCAGTGCCACCACGGGGCCGCCCCATAGTCGTGCACTGCAGGTGACTGAACATACATGTACATGTACATTGTCCACGGGAGATGTTTTGTGCATACTAGTAGCATAATATAACTAACATTCAAAGCATTTCGCTCAGAACGAAGGGGTTTCAGGTTCGATCTAGCCTGGTTTGATACCAGACCTATTTTAGCTCCACTCACTCTATATCCTCAATTTGTAGAGAGGGAGTTAAAAATATGTGCTTGGTAACTAAACTAGGCTAGGTTTGATCCCCTGAGAGTGTTTGGTGGTATTGCCACTCAGCTTCTCGGCTGATCCATTGTCTACAGAGATTCCTAACACATAAAACACATTCAACTTAACCCATCCCCCAGACAATGAAGGCACATACGAAATTCACATCCTTGTTTAGAAATATCATTTGAATACAACATTTAGATCATTGCTTCAAAACTCTAAAGGGCTGATTGAGAGTGTATTTCACTTGATTCACAAACTGTTTCTTGCCCTTCCTAAGCGCCGGTGTGGGTCGCACTGGGACCTTCATCACCATTGACGCCATGTTGGAAATGATGGCTGTGGAGAAACAAGTCGATGTGTTTGGATTCGTGTCCAAGATGCGCCGCAACCGCAGCTTCATGGTTCAGGCCAAGGTATGTACAACAATGTACAGTACATGAACATACATTGTAGTTTTGCATGGCAAAGGATACAGCAATGACACCACATTTAAATGCTTTGCTGCATTAGTATATTTAGTACTTATTTATAGTTTTGCATGGCAAAGGATACAGCAATATCACCACATTTAAATGCTTCATTGCATTAGACAGTATACTCAGTACTTATTTATATATTGCGGCTTAAAAACCTCTTGAAACTCATATCAAGCAAAGATTCATGGCTTTTTGTAACAACATCAATGTTGTACTGGACACAGCGCATCTTAGAATAGCTATCTTACAATCAAGACCCGACTGCAAATGACCACTCGGATATTTTATTGCATGAGGCAACTGCATGATATACTATTCGCATTTCCGAACAGCTCTCAAAATGGGAAAAGCATTTTTTTCATCTATTCCTTCTTTCCTTCTTCCGGTTGGTGCAATGGCCAAGTGGGTAGAGTGCTCACCTTGCATTCAGTCGGTCAATCCCCGGTCAAGTCATACCAAAGACTTTAAAAATGGTAAGAGTGTGGGAGTTAAACACACACCACTTAGTCCAGTGGGCTAGCCCCCTGTTGTAGTGATTGCATGACTGTGTGGTCCAAGGGCTACGAAACGGAGATGGGCGCCGCCATATGCGACCATGCTAATGGTTGAGGGGAGGACTGACAGTTTTAAAACCTTTTTTTCTTCCTTCGTTGTTTCATCCCAGGCTCAGTACATGTTCATCTATCAAGCCCTGCTGGATTCCTACGTCCGTGATGAAGTCAAGGCAGGAAAGTGGACGTGGTGGCCGCCGTCTGCCGTCATCTCCCAGATCAGCCAGATGGCCAAGGCATAGCCTGCTGGAAGCTCTATCTGATGCCAGACAGAAAGGTACAGACGACGATGTCTGTTGCTCCTAGTGTTTTAATAATTATATTAGTAGTCTTTGACTGAGTTTGAGGGCCTGTGAGACTGGTGCAATAGCTTAATTTGTAGAGTGCTCGCTTTGTAATCGGGAGGTCGTGAGTTCTAACGCCGGCCGGGTGATACCAAAGACTGGTAATAAAAATGGTACATACTGCTTTCTCTGCTTAGCACTCCATCTATGAGGAAGAGTATAGGGAGGTCAAACACACAATACTACCAGTAGACTAGCCCCTTGCTGTAGTGCATGCACAACTGTGTGGCCCAAGGGCTACAGAAATGGAGATGGGCACCACCCCTATGCTCCACAAGGACAAGGAGTGGAAATAGACTTTCTTCTTCCTTTGAGCCTGTTAGCCTGGGTTACTCCGCTCCATCAGTCTCTACCGTTGGTTGGTCGACCCAGGCTAGATACATGAATAAACTATTGACATTTGTAAAATTATGCTATTTGATTTTATCTGACATGGTACTCTTCATAAGTGTAACAGTATCACGATTGTAGATACAATGTATTAACAAAATGACATCATGTTGTTTCAGGAGAATACAAAATCTGATCTCCAGTAAAGACATCATCAACCAAAGACACTGTCTCAAGTCAAGACCTCTTCTAGTGCCCAAGTAGTCAAAAGAAGTATGATATCAATTAGAGTCTTTTTATTTTTAAGAATTAAACTGCAAAAGAGACAACAGAGTATTGTATCTGTTTGATGGGATTCAAATGCAAAAGAGAAATCTGAGCAGTTTTTAGAATCAGAAAAACTAGCAACTTACATGGCATTTTTATGATACTTCTGTGTTATCATTTTAGTCAATCCATAGCTTCATGAGGAACTGAGTGGTGAATTAGGTGATGAATGATTCAAAAAGTTTCCCAAACAGTGTACATTGTGATAGTAGGGGCAGAATGGAATGAGCAAAATCAGCAAATCCTCAAAATAACTGAAAGTAGAGAAATTGTGAATTGCTTTATTGAGAAGTACTTGAAATGCCATGCTGCTTAATAATGTGATTTATAGGTTTGTTTTTCTGGACTTTGTACTAATGAAATTTGGTATAGAGCTTGGTTTAAACTATAATGTGGCAACACTCCACCCCAATCTTAGGACTTTTTGTACATTTAATGGTTCAAACACGCAATATATTGTACAATCCTTTATGGCAAAAATAATATGCAGAATATGTCTACATGTGAAAGCCAATGTATTTGACGCAGTTGGATTCTGAACAAGTTGGTGATATCATGAACAAGAGACAGAATTTGACAGAAGGCCTTCAGAGATTGCAGATCTCACCCCTCAGACAGTATAAGCTGCTTTTGGCAAAACATATTAGAAACTACTAACCTGACTAAATCACACACCTGGCGGCCGCCCACCTCAAGTGGGGGCATTAACTCCTGACCGAGAGCTTGACTGTGCAAACACAGGCTACAGAAACTACACTGTAGAAACACGCACAGACAACACATTTGTATGTGGTGAGTGAAGTGCCTTGAACCTGTTAATACAGGGTGGACAAAAATCAGAGGGTAACATCAGCAAATTACAATTATTAGCATTAATTTTATGATTAATAATTTAAGATTCATCAAAACTGTATCATCATTCATGTTCTCATTAGACTTGATCATATAATAGGTGTAGAAGGTACATTGAAGAAGACCTTGAAATGTTCCAAATTATTTGAGATACTAGTACAGTGTTAGAAATACCCATCTGCAGTCTGCATTTTGCAGACATTTCAATATTGCACAAGAACAATTAAGAAACCTGCAATTTTGCAGACTGAAAAAATCAGGCTAGGGGTTCAATGGTGTTTAAGAGCTTTTGTGTTTACTACTGACTCTATAATATACATTCAAGTAATTTTGCATGTATTTTTCAAATTTCATGTAGAATGTAAAACATGCAATTTAGACCCAGACTTTTAAGTGTGTATTTGCAAGTATTTCCGAATTGCAGAGCAAAATTTTGGCATTCTGCAATATTGCAGAAAACTGAAAAAAAAAAGTATTTTTACCACTGTAGTATGATTCATTGGATTGCAAATGCGAACACCAACATGGCAGCAGACACAGAAATGATGAAAATGTTCTTTAGTGTGTAACAAGGTTCACAAAAGGTTGGCTATGATCTTGTGCTATAATTATGTATATTTTTGTCATTGGAGCTCAAGTTTCAAGTTTAAAGAGCTAAGGAAAAAATTCTTCATTTATGAATAATTTAATAATCCATGTAGAAACAACATTTACACACTAAAAAGTACCACATACTCGTTTCATATACATTGTATCATGTAACATGTTTATTGATATTTATCAAATACAAAATATATATACAAAAAAAGGAAGAGGCTTAGCCACTAATCCAATTCTTAAGATTAAAAAAATCTATATACACACAAATATTTCTACCTGTACTACTGGCCAAAAAACAGAACAGTCTGTAACACAAGAAAAATGAAAAAATACAATAAAATTAGATGAATGTTCAAAAATATAAGAAAACTAACTGAAACTATCAAAACAATAAGATGAAAGAGAAAAGACTATGAATCACCAATTGAATTTCATTCTGATTAACTTTTCTATTATCAAACAGAGTTTACTCTCAAAACAAAACAGATACAGCTTGAAAAAATTGCTACAGAAAACAAACTCCAATTACTTATTTTAAAAAATGTAAAGCAAAGGACCCTAAAAGACTCAAATATTTTAGAACTGATAATGAAAATAATCATTTTGAGTTCCTCAAATATCTCTTTTAGAACTAATGTTGTTCAGTAATGACAATACAAATGGCTACAAGTAAATTATTGTTGTAGTTCTCAACTGCTGAGACAAAAATACTCGACACACATTCAAAAAAGTTTCATGGTGATGTTGTAAAATTGAATTCATCACTGTCAATACATTCAATTATGTAGTAATTGAAAATCAAATTGAGAAAGGAAAATGTTGTGAATTACACCTTGTTTGTGAAAAAAGAAACCTGAGGAACTTGTAGATGAAAAATTTCTTCTATTAAATGGGCACTTAGACAAATACAGTGTGTTTTTGTACATTATACTTTCAGTTGTGCATAGTAATCTATACAAAGATGCATAATCAATCCTTAAAAGCTAACATCATTTGGCGAAGATTGTCATCACACTTGTAGGGTTTTTCACCAGTGTGAGTTCTCATATGTCGGAATAAGTGATGCTTCCAAGCTGTCCTGTACCCACATTCCGTACACATGTAGGGTTTCTCACCGGTGTGAGTTCTCATATGCAGAGATAAGTGTCCTCTCCAAGGTGTCCTGTATCCACACTGCTCACACATGTAGGGTTTCTCACCAGTGTGAGTTGCTAAATGGTTGTCCAAATGACATTTCTGTGCAGCTGAATAACTACACTGGTCACACTTGAAGGGTTTTTCACCAGTATGAGTTCTCATATGTAGGGATAAGTGAGACTTGTGGGTTGTCCTGTATCCACATTCCCCACACATGTAAGGTTTCTCACCAGTGTGTTTTGCTGCTACATGGCCGTCCAAAGTGGTTTTTTGTGCTGCAGAATAATCGCAGATGTCACATTTGAAAGGTTTTTCACCTGTATGTGTTCTCATATGTATGAATACGGTAGCCTTTTGAGCTGCCCTGTACCCACAGTACCCACACATGTAGGGTTTCTCATCAGTGTGCTTTGCTCGATGGTGGACGTCCAAGCAGGATTTATATGCTGTAGAATAGTCACACTGGTCACACTTGTAGGGTTTTTCACCGGTATGACTTCTCATATGTTTGGTCAAGTCATAACTCTGAGTTGTTCTGTATGGGCACTCCCCACACCTGTAGGGTTTCTCACCGGTGTGTTTTGCTAGATGGTTAGCCAAACGGTTTCTCCGTGCAGCAGAGTAATCACAGATGTGACACTTGTAGGGTTTTTCTCCTGTATGAGTTCTCATGTGATAGGATAAGGCAGACTTGCTACTTGCCCTGTACCCACACTGCTCACACAAGTAGGGTTTCTTAATCTTAGCAGTATGTGTCTTTGGCTGACTGTCCAAACTGGTTTCTATGGGTTGACCCGGTTGACCTTCGATATCGCTTGCACCCTTGTCCCACAAAACTCCAACAGGAGACCTATCATAGGGGTTCTCCGGAACTGAAGTAGGATACCAATTACTTGCCTCTGCCATTTCTAACCTATGACATAACATTTGAACACATTAAGTAAAAAAAAAAAAAATTGGTGAAACAGGAGTGCAAATTCAGGAAGTAACGTTATATATACTCCATGAAGATCACAATGATTGAATGACTGCTGAAAATATATTCAGACATCACATTAATAGAAATATTAACACTAAAAAACTACAAGAAAAAGATGGGTGATGTCACCATCATACTACACAATACGGCCTAAAAACAGATCCTTCCTGAAAGTACAATCACTCCCATGTGCGCAGCCAAACTGGTCTGTCCTTGGTGCTGAAGGCCATCCTCAAACACACCAATGAACATACACGCACGCAAACACAAAGTTTAACACACACTCATGCGCGTGCACGCGCGCGCGCACACACACACATGTAGATACATGCATGTAGTCCACTGGTCAGACTTACCAGCTGGCTGGCACCAGTCCACAGTAATATAAAGTGACCTCAATTCAGACAAAACATGTTGACTTGTAATAGATGATACCACCACACCCACAAGACATACAACACGGGGGGCTCTGAATTATTTTATTGCATCACCTGCAAACACTGCTAAAATGCCCCATATTATAAGAGTTCTTTAGGACCTCAATAACTCTAAACCAAGTGCCGAAATTCAAACAAGTCCATTCAAAGGACCATGAGTTATACTGCAGGTGCAAACACTCAAATGCAACCCCCAACATATGATACTTCATAGCAAACATTTTGTCTTATGCGAGCCTTGTGCCCTCCTCTTAGCGCTGTTACAGTAGCTGTAGCAAGAGATAAAGTGCTGACCTAGGCTGATCTTTTATCTTATAATGTTATATACAATGTAATAAAAATGATTTTTTTTGTAACGTGACCCCTTGACACACTGGTGTAATATAGAAAACCAAAATCGTGAAATATTGCACTTTTCATTAGGGTCTGCCACCCCCATTTTGAAAAAGTGGTATAACCCTGACTGTTAAACATATATGATTGATGATAGATCTAAATTACTTATAGACTATCACATGCACTGCTCTGCAAGGGGGTGTCAAATTACTTTATATTCTCAGATACGTGGGGGGGAAAAAGCCACATCATCTGGGCCCAATAACTAATGTAATATCACAAATCAAATCCGTCAAACCCTCCGTGAATTGTTTTATAGCTACCAACACATACACAACACGAAAGCAATATACATGTACCTTCCCGCTTTTAGGATAACTCCTTCCTGTCCCTACAGCCTCATCCCTTTCCTTTTAATATTTAATACTGTCCCCACCCCATGTCAGTTTTATTCCCAACAACTTTTATTCAATACAAACATGTTTTCCAAAGTTGGCCACGTAAGCCACGCAAGGCTTCTGTTGTCAAACATATTTATAGCACACTTCAAGTCCTTAACGTTAACTTTTTATTGCAGAAACGAGTCCCCTTTGTTTCGTAAGACTTTGCGGCTGTTTTCGCCTCGCATTCCTCCCCAAATTTCTCACTCCCAAAAGTGCTAAATGAGGTCTATATACCGTAGAGATGGCCTTTATCTCCTACCCTTCATGATAAGGCAATAATTTTTCGCTTAATCAAGTTTCTTACCTGCTTTCAGTGTTGATCTTTACCTCCGCACAATCTTGCTGGAAACTTCCGTCGCCACATCTAGCTTGGGATGAAAGGTCAACCTACTTTAGGGTGAAAGGTCATTTTGTACCTCATTACCCACTTAGTGTGTAAAAAGTTTGCCTACATTGTAGAGTGGCTTAATATCTCCATCTATATCCAAACTAAAATATCCATCAATAGACAGATGCGCAAACAAAAAAGAACTCAGTTTGTGTGTGTGTGTGTGTGTGTGTGTGTGTGTGTGTGTGTGTGTGTGTGTGTGTGTGTGTGTGTGTGTGTGTGTGTGTGTGTGTGTGTGTGTGTGTGTGTGTGTGCGCGCGCGCGCGTGAGTGAGTGAGTGAGTGAGTGAGTGAGTGAGTGCGTGTGTTTTTAATTCCTTCACCAAACACTTTAAATAAAGTTTTTTTTACCGAAATCAATTAGGTTTTTAAAAACGTCCTGGCTGAAATTGCGTGTTGAACGGATGCCATGCTACATTGCTACGTCAAACCAAGACGATATGGAACAGCAATGATATTGAATCCAAGGATCTGAAGTGAATTTTCGACTTGTATGGGTATACCCAAGGGGTTGAAGTTTGCCATCTCTGATTGTATGTGTACACTAGCCTCTACCAGACATCGGGAGGCGGCTGGAGAGAGTAGAAATTGGCCAAATAGAGAGATAACATGCCAGGGGAGCTGGTCCGCTAGAGAGTACATTTTGCCGATGAAAAATATACTCTCTAGCGGACCAGCTTCCCTGGCATGTTATCTCTCTATTTGGCCAATTTCTACTCTCTCCAGCCGCCTCCCGAAGCCTGGTAGAGGCTAATGTACACGTGTTTAATTAAAGTACTTTGGCGGGAGTTTTGGGATGTGTGACGCCAGGGAGATCCCAGGCGTGTCAAAGTGGGCTTCCCCAGCGTGGCGCGCTCTGATTGGCCAACATAAACAAGATGGCGGCGCCCATGGACGTGGAGCCGGGTTTTGGCAGACCAGGAAGTTAAAAAGCCTCGTTTTTCTCGGCTAGTTCTGTCCGAAATTGAGTAAACCTTTCGAGGTCAGCCATCAAGTAGTTTCCAAGAAGTCAGAACTTTCCTTAGCGTCGTGTCAAATAGAGTAGAGACAATTTCTAGGAGGTTTTTCTTCCGAGTGAAATCGCGAACAGCTGATCGCGCATCCGGTTTGTGAAGAACACCTCATCACAACACCAGGTTGTTGTAGCGGTGGCGAAGCCTAAAATCTGAAGGACCCTGAAAACGCCGAGTCCGGACTCAAACCAGGATCTTCTAGCCCTCTTCAGCGCAACATGTCACGTCATTTTATGTGACGAAAAGAGCCTTTATATCGGAGCTACACGTCGACTTAGCCACCAGTTGGTAGAGACCAACACAGAGAGAACCTTCCTTTACCCCCCTCCCACTTTTCTTCCAAAGTTCTCGCCTGACTTTTCATGTCGTTCGGCTTCAGCTGAACACACACAGACCTACTAGTCTTCTAAGATGACGAGGACGATGAGGAACACCGTTGCTGCCCTTTCCTGTCTTCTCTTTCTCCTCCTGTGGCACAGCCCAGCAGCGGGCTTGCAGTGGAACTGTGAGACGTGTAAGGGAATCACGGACAGGTTCGCTCAGAAGTACGCTGAGACGGAGAAGGGGGGCTACGGAGGCGGGAACACAGACTGGGAGGAGACGTACCTCAAGGAGTACAGGAGAAGGTAGGAAAATCCGGCAAGAGACTTCATTGAAAATGACTGTATTTGTAATAGCTGAAGCGTACGTCTGTACATAATTTTATGGATCTACTAGTATGTGATACATTTTTTTTCATATCACTGGATATGACATGTGCATACTTGTTAAACAAATAGATTACTACTAGTACTAGCTACTAGTACTAGTATTTTCTTGCATATCTTGCAAATTTTATTCCTGATTTTATCTCAGATGTTATTTGATTAAAAACACTGCTCTTAGAAGTATAAAGGATACATTTGTGTTGGAGCAACAGGTTGTGGTTTTTACATTACAGTAAGACGAATCTCAGGGGAGAAATTAATTAAAACAAACATTTTCTCAGATGGGTGTAACATAATAAAATACAACACAGTGTATTCAGCATGACACTTGGAATACACAGTGTTGTATTTTATCTTATTTTATATGTGCAACACTGTTTTATGTGGCAAAATTGTGTAGTGATTTTAGTGTTGCTCGGAGAATGTTTTCTATTGTGTTGAGAAGGAAAAGTCAAAGGATAACTAGCAATCCACCCCTCACAGTAATGGAATAGCCCAAAACCACCTGTTCCAGTACAAACTGGTGGGGGGGGGGGTTAAGATCATCTTTTGTAGATTTTGTTATTAGGATGTCGTACAAAAGTGCAGGATTTAGTAACATGAAACCACATGTACGAATGACACGTGGGACACGTAAGGCCACGTACTTCGTTAGGCTGAAACTACTTGATGACGAGTTCAGAGTTCCAACCGAACAATGCTCCGCCACGATTAAGGACCCTCATCCCTGCTTACTCCTGAATCCCACATCCTGGTGGTGGAAAAGATTAATAGAGGCTGGTGTACTTTTGCGGTAGGGGATCCCAGAAAGGTTATGATTTGGGACAAAGCCCTGGTTATGAATGTCTGAAGTAAAATTGTGCACTCTTTTTATTTTTGGTCCAAAATTCTTAAGGATGATAGGAGTATTGGGCAATTTCTTTCTCTTTATAGTTAGTAGTTGACCCTACGAAAGTCTCTTTTTGTTGCATGAAGAAAGCTTCTCTATCAATATCTAACACTTCTTTTTCCTGGGCTTCATAATTAGAGGCAACTTAACCTAGCTATGCCAAAAAGCAGTTACGCAAGCAACTGGATATGATTTTCGCAACGGTTTGGAAACTTACCGTTTCCAAAATCATATCCAGTTGCTTGAGTAACTGCTTTTTGGTGTATCGTATTACCTGGATGTCTAACCTTCATCGACGTAACTTAACCTATGTTTCAACAGTGTTGGAACATAGGATTTTATCAATACAACCATTTAATTACAACACATAAAACCATTTTTGTTTTGTCTGCATGTTCTTTTCTATCACTAACGACGACTCGCTTGACCCACCAGCTCTCATTGGAGACGTATGAAGAAGGACGGGACAGAAAGGTTGGACGAGTGTGACCTTGACAGTGACTTTCTGACTGACCCCACCCCCTCCTTATTTCTCACTCAACACCATTGTTGCAGTAAACAGACATCTTAATAAATTGATGACAAAAATCAATGACAACAAAATGCTTTGATCCTTTACCTCTGTTAACACTGGTGTTGAGACAGTTTCAGCGTAGTAACAGTCTGAAGTCCACATAGCCCCCCCCCCTCAGCCTAGTACATGTAGTAATAGAACACTCCATCTCTTAGGACAAGGACAGTGTGATTTCTACTCGTAGGATAGGCCATTCAAACTTGTAGATAAGAGATTATGCCTTAAACTAAATTCATGTATAAGCAAATGTAATGTGTCCAAACATTGCAGCTTTGGCCCTTCCAACTTAAACCAACACTCTCAAACATATTCTTACCAGTTCAATGGTAGTTAACTGTACTGAAGTTTTTTTTAGCCTTGAATGATCAACCAGTTTTTAAGAATCAGTGGAAATTTATTTCAGATCACCTTAAGGAAGGATAAGATTTAAACTGTCCCTTAAGGACTATCATACCATGTGGGCCAATCAGAAACTGCTACTATTTTACCCCCACGATATCTACCAGGAGATTAACTTCTTCAAGTTGTGTATCCGTGCTAACCGATATGTACGAGTCTGTGAAGGGGTTGTTAAGAAACCTGACAGTGTATTTTGGCTCATGCGTATGGTACAAAAATATGTGATGTTGGTGTTTCAGCGAGGTTCGTCTGTTGGAGATCATCGAGCAGCTGTGTGTGAAGGACAACCACGCCTGCTACGCTCTGGTGGAGGAACACGAGGAGCTACTGGAGGAGTGGTGGCAAAAAGAGTCAGTTTCATCTCCATTTTTTTTATCTTCTAGAAAAATTAAACATGAAACTGGAAATAAAACTAGAAAGGTTACATTTTAAAAAAAAAAGCAAAATGCATAATGTCTACCTTAATTCGCATATGGTCTGCTGTGTCAATTCTTACTCAAACACACACACACACACACACATATATATATATGGTCAGACAGGAGCCTAAATCCCTCCTGCTATAAAATTGCAGCATGATGTAATCCAACACCAGTTACCATGGTGACAGACGTCTGGTTCTGGTCATTGACCTTATTGGTTTGGAGAAGAAGAAGAACAGGAGGAGGAAACAGAGCAAAAACAATATGTTTTCCTTCCATAATCATAGAAATATTCCACAATGCTTCCTGGATCATTTTCATGATGAAGTTACAATTGACAAAACATCAATATTAATATCCTATATATTAAAAGTACCTTTTTTTTACAATTTTCCTATTTCTCTGAACAGTGAGAGTCCTGACATCAACTTGTACAAGTGGTTTTGTATAGATCACATTAAAGGTGAGTACATCCTTACCTTAGGGTTTTCCTTTGCTAGTTCTCTTGTTTGAATTTCCTAACATATCCTCACATCATGGTGTGATTGATAATGTTGTGGTGGTAAGGTGGTATTGTGGTTGGGTTCAATGGTTGACTTATAAAGTAACTAAAGATTCTGGGTTTGAATCCCTTGTAAGTTGTAGGCCCTATTAAAACGTTTTGCCCTTTTTCCTTACTCAACTTAGGTGAAAATAGTACCTAGCATTGATGATGAAATAAATGTATTGTGTTTGGTTTTACCAGTATGTTGTCCAGAAGGCCAATGGGGACCAAGGTGTATAGGTAAGTTTTACTTGCAGTTATGTTTCCAGTTTCAACATCATACAGTAGTCTTTATTTCTCACTTAGATGATCTAAGGTCTGTTTATGTTTCTAGATACATGTGGTCAGAGTAGTTTTGGTATGTGGGTAGGATGATTGATTTTGGGCCTCCTGGCAGCTTTTCTTGTTTTCATTATGATTGATTGTTGATTACATTTTGTTTATCTTCTCCTCCCCTTCCAGATTGTCCCATTGGACGAGAGAAAGTCTGCTCTGACCATGGAAAGTGTGATGTAAGTTACATAGTGTTTCATACTATCAAGGAGGTCTTAATATAACCTCCTTGATACTGTGTTTATCAATCAAAAGCATTTATCACATTACATGAAGTTTTGGTATGTAAGACCAACCATTCAAAAATTATTATGCTGATTAAATCTTACGTGCATAATAAATGAATCAAAACAAAACAATAAATTTTCTTAAGTTCAAAATATGTCATGGAATCATGAGGTCCCTGAACTCTTGTGTCTTGCTTGCAAGAAACAACGGTATATAACATTAGCTCTCCCCATCTGCGTGATGTCCCTACCAGAGAATTTGCAGATTATTGAACTTGACATTTTACGATACCAAAATATTTCATAAATTGCTCAGAACTTTTTTTATGAATTGTTTCACATATTTTGTGGAACTTTTAAACATGGATAAACAAGGATAAACACTTTCAGGGTGATGGGACAAGGGAAGGCACTGGGGCCTGCACTTGTGACAAGGGTTACCAGGGGGCACTGTGTGAACAGTGCACCAACGACCACTACGAAGAGTACAAGAACACCACACATGTCAGCTGCAAAGGTAGGAATAGCGTCCATAGCAGGCTCATAGAACTGGGGTTTTGGTGGTCTTTGGCTGTTTTCTGATTAGCCCAGTTCTAACGGGGGTAATTCAACCAGGCCGGCTATGTTGTCTATATGCAATCAGAAAATAGCACATAAAAGCTACCGAAGGCCATGAGGACCCCCCAAAACTCCCAGTTTTTGGCATGCTATGGAGGCTAGGTAGGAACTTGTAACGGCCATGACCTTAGGGAAAGAGATGTTTGCATACATATACTCAGTAACTAAGTACTAAACTCCCTGTAAACTATAAGACCATATACCTGTCAGTAGAGTAAACATATGGATCAATCACAGAAGTAATCGAACTGGTTTGGATCTCCCTTTATAGCAAGTAATATATAGACCCTAAGGGGCCAATCAATTCATTACAAACTTACCATCAGGGATGCCAAAATGTTTTTGAAAATCAACTTTAAAGGGAAAAGAAGTTAATTCAAATGCTAACATCTAATATGTTGGTTTAAAAACTGTTACAATGTAATAACTTTTATTGCAACAGTGACTGACTGACTGTGACAAGTTGACAGACTCATTTCTTACTTTCTTTGCTTTACTGTATACAAAGTGAATATTCCATTACAGGCAACTAACAATAGTTATTCATATTTAGCATTCACTTTTGATTTTAATTTTATGTCTAATATAATAATTGCATAGCATAGCAGAAATTTCTATCTTTAACAACTTCCTTTTAAATTAAACTTATTGTCAGTGTTTGTCTGTGTTTTGTGCACTTGTCCATGTTGTTGTTAACCTCCATGTTGACCCCCAGCCTGACACTATGGATGTAACATACCATGTACTTGTCTATGTTGTTGCTAACCCCCATGTTGACCCCCAGGCTGCCACTATGGATGTAACATAACATGTAAAGGTCCTGGTCTGGAGAACTGCCTGGCCTGTCACAAGGGTTGGAACTATGTGGAGGGGTCCGGCTGCATAGGTCCGCTTTCTGGGTTTTTCCTTGTTCATGTTTTTCCTTGTGTTGATTGAAGTTCAAGTTGATTAAAATAGAAAAGTTAGTTGCATAGCTTCTTCAGGTTTATTCCTTATGCTACATTCAAGTTCAAGTGTATTTTTTGGAATTTTTCTGTTTTCTTCAAACAACTTTTAAAGAGTAACGCTTTGCGGACTCACTTAACTCAGTGATTGTAGAATATCAATGAGATCATGTAGTTTTTACCTGTCCTTGGTACTGAAACAGAAGTGTAAATATTTCTAGAATCTCATCAACATAACAGTATGGAACAGTTAAAGTGATATGTCTGATGATCATTTTCGAGTTGTTGTACTCAGTGATATTTTTCCTACAGATGTTGATGAGTGTAATGAGAAATTGCGACCATGCCCGAAGGGAATGTACTGCATCAACATTGTCGGCGGTCACAAGTGTTTCCGTATGTCTGCAATAACCCACTTCTGTCTGCAAGTCTTCTGTAGCTTAGAGTAGCCACATGTAGCTAGAGTAGAGTGTCACTGTACTGATAGTGGGTTCATTATTGTGTCCTTTCCTAAATTACACACTAACTCACTCACTCACTCACTTTCTCTCTCTCTAACTATCTCTAACTAGACAGTATTGATGTAGCCATGTTTTTACATGTGTACTGTATATTTTTGTTGTTTATCCTTTTTGACAAATGACGGAACTGACCAACACTGACTGTTTAGAGAGTTTAAAGATTCAAATAAGTTTGTTTGTTTGTTTGTTTGAACCATTCTTTATTCATGATAGGATACAGAAAGAAAAGTATATTGAAAGCTTAAAAAAGCTGCTTTGTAAAGCCCTTCTTAGGAGGCAATATGACTGAATGAGTTGGCCACATTGCAGATAGTAGAGATGACTGAGAAGGTTGATGTGATGTTCCCTTCCCTCCCACCACCAGAGTGTAACGAAGCTTGTGAGGAGTGTTTTGGACCAGAGGCTAATGAGTGTAGGAAGTGTAGGGAGAACCATGTCCTGCTCGAAGGCTCCTGTGAAGGTAAGTTTTTTTGTTCTTCTTCTTTTACTTCCTTGTCAAAAACTAGCAAAAATTACTGCATACAAAGGAATCCAACACTCTAGTGAGAGTAGGGGTGACCTGGTGTGTTTGTCTGAAAGCAGTGCAAACTTTAGCAAAACTGCATTACACAAGTTAGGACGACTGCTTTAAGTTTTACCTTGTGAAACAACTTGATTATTTTATGATGTGAAACAACCTGTTCATGCATGTTTGTCTAACAAAGTGTCCTTTTTTTTAATACCCAGAATGCCATGAGCTGTGCACGGGTTGTACAGGTCTTGGTCCAGAAAACTGTGTGAAATGTAAACCTCCAGCAGACATGGTGGACGGTACCTGTATAGGTGGGTCAATCTTCTATTATGTATGCCTACACTTATCCTCTTCATCCCTTGCGAGACATAAGGCTGAGACTTTTCCCTTCCATCTGGGTCTGTCCTCGGCCACCTTCTTCACTGATCGCCAGGACAGTCCCATATAGATGCCAGGTCATCTGACACAGTTCTTCTCCGGGTGGTTTTAGGTCTGCCTGTATTTCTTTCCCAGCAGGTGTCCAATTTAAGGCTGTTTTAGGTATCCATCCATCATCTATTCTTAATACATGGCTAAGCTATTTCTAGTATGTGCCTCATACCTTATATCTAAGCATTTCAGTTACAGTATTCATTGATGTCAGACCAGACCGTATACAGTAGAAAAGTCCTAAATATACAGACACTATCCAAAACATTCTAGACAAAGGTAATCAGGCCATACTGAACACTGATTTGATCATAGTGGATATGCCACATGACCCCACTGGCCTTATTGTTCCATGTTTCCTCTGTTTGGCTTCTCCTTCACTACCAATAATCAAATGTAAGTTGCTTTCTATGTATATGTTGTCAATGTATTTTCTCATTTTGTCTCCCCAGACTGTGCCAGAGCCTGTCATGGTTGCACCGGTCCTGGACCCGAGCACTGCAAAAGGTGCAGGATGGGCTTCAAAAAGAACAAGGAGGAAGTATGTGAGGGTAAGTTGAAGAAAACATGTAGTTGTTACAGGTTACGAAGCTGAGACATACGTGAACGTGAAGCATCAAACACTTTGAACATCATGTATCACACATTGCTGTGAGTGTCTAAGATAAGATTAGCCAACATTTTGTGTGTTTTCTTATGTTTCACATCATACTTTTACATGATGGGTCAAATTCAATTGAATAAAATCATAGGTGATTCAAGTTCAAGTTAGGTTGCTCAACGGTGTCCTTACTATGCCAGCCACAATAACACAAAAGCTAATTACAGGAACAGCTTACAGTACTATGGACCTTATCTCTGGAACTCACTCCCCCTACAACAACGACAGCAGCCTAGTCTCAGAACTTTTAAACAGTTTTTATCGAATTGTATTTAAGATTAGTTTTATCTATGTGCTATTTTTAGACTTTTGGATGTATTGTGAATCTGTTCAACTGTTAGGTGTTTGTCTGTGCTTTTGTACCAGGATTTCCTGAAAAACAGGCCAGAGTGGCCTGAGTGTGATACCTGGTTGAACAAATAAAGTTGAAAAGTTGAAAGCTTTCCATGTATTTGTTCCTCACAGATGTAGATGAGTGTAAGGTCATGTGCAGGTTACAACATGAAGTCTGCACCAACACCATCGGCTCGTACGAGTGCCTATGTGAGGAGGGATACGAGAGAAATCAGCGAGAGCTCTGCGTCATGAAAATTGAGGATGAAGATGACACAGAAGGCGACTCAGAAGGTTTGTCTGATTAAATGTGCACTTCAAACATACCAGCACCTACCTTATGTGTGCTATAGCTGTAGCTCCTCCCCTTCCATGTGTGCTATAGCTATAGCTCCACCCCTCCCATGTGTGCTATAGCTGTAGCTCCTCCTATTTTATGTGTGCTATAGCTGTAGCTCCACTTCATCCATGTGTGCTGTAGCTCCTCCCTTCCCATGTGTGCTTTTGCTGTAGCTCCTCCCTTCCCATGTGTGCTTTTGCTGTAGCTCCTCCCTTCCCATGTGTGCTATAGCTGTAGCTCCTCTCTTCCCATGTGTGCTATAGCTGTAGCTCCACTTCATCCATGTGTGCTATTGCTGTAGCTCCACTTCTTCCATGTGTGCTATAGCTGTAGCTCCTCCCATTCCATGTGTGCTATAGCTGTAGCTCCTCTCCTCTTATGTGTGCTATTGCTGTAGCTCCTCCTTTTCTATGTGTGCTATAGCTGTAGCTCCTTCCCTCCCCATGTGTGCTATAGCTGTAGCAGCTCCTCCCCTTCCATGTGTGCTATAGCTGTAGCTCCTCCCCTTCTGTGTGCTATAGCTATAGCTCCACTTCATCTATGTATGCTATAGCTGTAGCTCCTCCCCTTCTGTGTGCTATAGCTGTACCTCCTCCCCTTCTGTGTGCTATAGCTGTACCTCCTCCCCTCCCATGTGTGTTATAACTGTAGCTCCTCCCCTCCCATGTGTGCTATAGCTGTAGCTCCTCCCCTCACATGTGTGCTATAGCTGTAGCTCCTCTTCTCACATGTGTGCTATAGCTGTAGCTCCTTCCCTCCCCATGTGTGCTATACCTGTAGCTCCTCCCCTTCCATGTGTGATATACATGTACATGTAGCTGTAGCTCCACTTCTTCCATGTGTACCTCCTCCCCTTCCATGTGTGCTATAGTTGTAGCTCCTCCCCTCCCACGTGTGCTATAGCTGTAGCTCCATTTCTTTCATGTGTGATATACATGTACATGTATCAGCTAGCTGTACAGTACCTCTTTCATGTGTACTTTCAGTGCTTTCATTCCCACACTTTTCCCATTTGTGTCATAGTTTTAGACACCCCTTACTGATAGTGTGCATCTGTTGTTGTAGTCTCATTGCTTTGCATACTGTGGTGATGTTGGTTATCCCTACTACTTTGTGTGCTGCTAGTATTGTGTTCTCATTCCTTTTGAATTATGTGTACTGTACTTCTTTCCCCATTCCTTTAATATACTGTGGTTATATCCTTTCTCTTTTCTGTAACTGTAGTTATATTTCTCACCTCTCTATATATTCTCATCTCTAACCAAAGCACTAAGTCTTGTTTTGTTGCCTGCCCCCTCCCCCCTGTTGTTCTGTAACTACATGAAGATTGTCTTATATGATATGTTCCCATCAGTTGCGACAGAAGCCAGCAAGGTCAGGTTGGACAAGAAGTACAAAAGGCCGAATAAGCAGCCTAGAAAGATGCTGACAGGTACACAAGAGGCCATTCGTCTTGTCAGTATCTTCTTCATAGTGGTCTTGGCCCTGGTCGTAGCCCTGGTAGAGCCCATTCTGGGGGCGTTTGTGGCAGTGGTGGGAGGGGTGGTCTGGTACTTTGTCATGAAAACATACTAGATACATTTCCGTAAATAATTTCATCAGGTTGGAAGATACTTAGGGTATAGAATTTTCTTCATACACAACCAGTAAGGTTCTCACCTCCTTACTGGTTGTGTATGAAGAAAATTCTGTACCCTATTCTAGATACATGTAGTACATTAGAGCTTGTCACCCCTGTAAATGAGTGGGACAGTCTACAAATGTGTGACTGGGTGTATTATAATTGTTACAGTGACCCAAAAAATCATGCTTAAAGAAATAATCTATTATTGTGGATTATATTTCCAGTTGTGCAGCTACACTTGTAAAATTGACTCTTGTTGTATAAAAAAAAGGCAGATTTCAGACCTCTGGGAAGTGTATTGGTTTTTCTGTGATTGTATTGAAACTGTTGAGGGCATCATATGACATAGTGTTACACATATAGTCAACCAGTTCCTGAATTTTTCCACATACCTCCTACTTACTCCCAACAGGGTTGTCTTACATGATAGTTTTTACAGTTGTGGCACTGTCCTTGGTGCTGAAATATCCTTTCCAGCACTTTATGCTGAATTTATCCTTCCCAACATTCCACATTCATACTGTTTTTGCCATCCTTGTTAATCATCTTCACTTCTGTTGTTATGTCTGACTAGCAAATTTTACATTCATACAGTTGCACATTACTTTAGATATTCTTTGTCACACTGCCATAAACTGACCTGTAACTATTTCCATGCTGACACTGCCATAGAACCATTGTCACTTTCACACCACCATTTTTGTCCTTAAAACACATTTACTCTGGAGAAATGTTTTCTACTTCAGGTTAAATTTCACATTCACTATTACACGGTTTACACCTGTAGAACTACCATGTCTGTCAGTATTATTAATGCTGTTATTATTATTATATATGATAACATATTTACATTGCAGAAATATATTACTTCTCCAAATTTTCACATTCACACAAGACAAACAAGACCATCACTTTCTTCTGCTTTCCTTTTGTGCACCTTTACCTTTACATTTATGGACATACACAGTTTCCCTGTCCCTGGTGCTGAATAACTGTTCCACTGACTTTTTTCTCTGTTTTAGGCTACAATGGCCAAATTTTGGGTGTAAACTACTGAATTTAAAGAAACTATGATCAAATCATGAATTTTTGTAAAAAAAAAACCCATCACCCAATGTCTATTTCTGTTATGGCCAGTACTGTGAAGGTATGTAGTTGTTTGGAGTAGTTAGGTGATGTGTATCATCTGCAATATGTGTAAGACTAGTTGTACATGTTTGACACAGTCCCAGACTACCCCTGACCTGCCACTATTATCAATGTACTGCCACAAAGTTCATTCGATCCCGGCACCAACATTGTTCCTTGGTTTGTGTAGATTACATTAGAGATAGTCTCATGCACTGCTGTAGTTTTCTGTTGGAGAGACCTTCTATAGGAAAATGCTGTTATCAATTTTACTGTAAGGCCTGTAGAATGAAAATTAATTGTCTATATTATATCTTTTTTTCCTGCCTGTCTTGATATCCTCCTTTTTCCTCAGTTCTCAGACTTGTGAAAAAGCTTACTTTTGTGTTCAAAAGAAAACAAACATAGCCACCAAAAGGAACAAATAAAAAATAAAGATCATGTTCAACTGTCTGTGTGTATACCAGTTATAACAAAAAAGTCCCATTTGCTTCAGAAAAAAGGCCTTGATTACTTGTAGTCTTTAATCTTAACCCTGTATAACCCTTAATGTCAAGACTGTTTTCAGTGGGTTTAATAAGATGCTGTTCTAAATTGACAAGTGGCATCTCATGTTTTGAAGTAGAAAATGACATGCACACAGTTATTTTTGTGGTTTATCAAAACTGCTACCCCCCCCCCCCCCCCACCAAATAAAGAATCTTTTGACATAACAGAAAACAAGAACACTGCCATGTTGTATCTCAACACAACCAAAATTTACAGAAGCCATCAATGTGTTAGAGAGAGAATTAAAATTTTCATCAGTTTCTGACAAAGACTGGAGGCAACGACCTCAAAAGTATTCACAGTTTGAAGCAAAACTATGATGCTCCCATTCTACATGAAAGTTACTTTAAACTCTTTCTATTTGACATCCATAGGTAATATCTGAAGGCTTTACTCCTTTCTACTCTTGCTGATTCACCTTCATTGATTTATGTGCTGATTGCTCCATTTTGTTTGGTTTCTTTCAGGCACGCTTCGACAGGAATTATGACGAAGTAATTTCAAATAAGAGGAAATGAGGCTCTAATCGCCATCCGTTATTATAGTTATAGTCATTCCGTATTTATTGTAGTTGCGGGTCTACGTGAGATAGCTGTCATTCCATAGTGGCCTGACGTAGGGATATTGTAATGATGGTTTTATAGTTGAACAAATGATGATCATTACATCCTGTCCGATGACATTTCATTGCACATGTTACCAGGGACAGCGGAAATACCGTATAAAAAAAAGACAGTTTCTCAGACAGTGTCTCATACAAAAGCATAATTACACATTCTTTTCAACAACACACAGAAGCTGTCACGCAGATATGTTCTGTAGAACGATTTTTAAAAAGCTGTCAAACACAAATCTACATTTTTTCCTGACTTGAGAAAACAAGGTTTTGGTGTTACAAAATATCTTGTTGGCTTGTAAAGCATATTGTCAATGAGACCCATTGAGAGCATTTGATTGCAACTTTTGTTACTACATTCCAACATTGTCTGTAACCTTACAGGTGTATCAGTTAGCATCTTTTACACAGCTGAATTTTCATTCATGTATTCTCAAGCTGTTTGTCTTTATGGGTTTTTCTAATTTCCTACAAAACAGTGTGTTGTATGTTCAGTGCTTCTTTAATATGTACCTTAACTATCTAAACAAAATACACACGCACACTACAGCAACTATTGTACCAAAGTTTACATCACCATTTCTTCCTTTTTCATGAATTTAGAGTCTAATTGTTTAATTAAATGGTTTAACTCCAAAAGATAGATGCTTCTACAGATCTATATTTAATGTAGCATTCAATTTCATAAAAGTTGGCAATACACAATTCATTTGAGGTATATATATAAGATATTCTGACAATTCTTCAGGTGCAATGACATTATTGTTTCAGATAGCAATTGTATTACATATAAATGTACAAATGTATTGTGTAACTGAGAGTTATTTCATTTTTACTCGGTAGACATGTGCAAAATGTATTGCAAATCATGTAAGGGGAGTAAAGAAGTACTACGACATGTGAGACCTTGTATTTTAGCCCTACTTTTCATGTACTTGGAAACTCTGGTGAAAACACTCTTGTGATGTATAAGAAAAGAAGACTTAGTGCAGATTTTATGTAGTCTGGTGATCTAACTGGCATTTTCATGGGGTGACTTGATTTTTCACTGGCCTTAAAGAAACTGGAAGCATGAATTTTCGATTATTTTGATTGTGCATCCTTATATCATTCCATTTTGTGTAGCTAAAGTTAATCATGAAAAAACTATTTGGAAGTCCTTTGAAAATGCTAGTATGATGGAAGGCAATGTTGGTGCCGGGACTCCTTTCCTCAATTTGTTGTAATGTTTCAAGATATGTCAGAGTTCTTCTCATTTAATGTTGAATTATGTAATAATACAGGCAATGGTGATGTGAAAATAAAGGTTTGCCTCTATGCAATAGAAAGTCTTTGTGTGTGTGTGTCTCTCAATAGATATTTGTGTATCCTATACTTGAAGATAAATTTACCACATCTTGAAGCAAAAAGGGGACCAAACCTACACCACCTTTTCTTTAAATGAAAAACTATCCGCCGCTCAAAAATCAAGACAATGAATAGCATGTCCAGGACAAAAGATATCAGAACAGGTAGTTCTGTTGCAGTACCAAGGACAGCTGCCAGGAGGTCCATAATTGACCTTGACCTTCAACTTATCTTTTAATATCTCCCTACATACATGTACCAAATATCATTACAATCCATTCAGGTCTTCTTAACTACAGATCTGTGGAAAACAGCCTCCAGTTTAATTCTGGACTTCCAGTTTAATTCCGGACTAATTCCCATATCTCAGTAACTGTACATCTAGATGGGCTAATATCGTAAACTATGGGTAAAAATGAAGTAAGAAATATGTATATGTAGTTAATAAATAAATGTATATATTAACCCAATTCTGCAGAATTCTTCCCAGAATTCTGGCTCCAGTTCCCAGAATTCTGCAGAATTGGGTTAATCCCCAAGAGGTCCTCGATGGCTGCCACGCATTTTTCATCATTTTTACCTACAGTTTACGATATTAGCCCATCTAGATGTAAGGTTGCTGAGATATGGGAATTAGTCCGGAATTAAACTGAAAGTCCAGAATTAAACTGGAAGCTGTTGGAAGCACATACGGTTACACACACAGAGACAATATCATTCATTTTTCATGATCTTTCATGGATGCAAAACGTTCAAAGTTTACGTTTCCCTCTCTCCTGAAAAACAGAGAAAAATTTGACTTTGGTCTCAGGGTAGCAAAAGTGTCCGGAACAAGCTGAAGGCAGAGAATTAACTGTGATGACGTCATTCGGAGAGAATGCTTGACGTCAATGACTTCAACCCAAATTACGTCCAACAATGTAGAAGGAAATGATGATAACGAACAACAACTACAATCATAGCCATCTAATGAAGACCTTGTTGCGGATGTCTACCTGCCTGGCAACAGAGGAACTCCTAGGAGAAAGAACTTCTTTTGTCATGTCCGAGGTACTGAATTGGTGTGTTTTATTTTCGAATTCCTCAGGGCATAAACTAACGTTAACTTTTTATCGATCTATCACATGACTCAATTATGTTACCGGATGTGTTTAAAATGAAATTTTTTGAAAAGTATTGTGTAAAGTATCAAACGTTTAAACTTTAAACATCTAACTACCAACACAGATGAACTTTCGTGATAACATTACTGGACCATTGTATTTTCCTAGCCAGCCTCTCTCGGCTGGAGGTTAATGACCTCCGGGGCGGGCGGCCGCCAGGAGCGCGGTTTTAGTCAGGATATGTATTTTAGATATACCATGTACATCGCAGTTTAAATGCGTGTTTTAAGAGTTTTAATGTCGAAAGTCAAGTTATACCTAGGCGACGCGGATGTGAGAATAAACGCAACGGTTTGCCTTTGAGCAGTAGAAGATTATTTTGTGTCTCTTAATGGATATCCAGAAAACAAATACAGGGGATTCCACTTATTTGTATTTCGTATAATTGTATATTTCGGGTAATTGTATACTATTCTAAAAGTAAAACACTAAAACCATTTACCATTCACTCAATTGTAAAAACAATGCATAATTGTATAGCGCATTATCGTATATTCCGGCGTATCGTATAGAATTTGGTCCGACTAGATCGTATAATGACCCAGAGCTACACATTAAGTTAGCAGAAACGGCATGAATGGACAGTAAAGTGATTGTATTATATGTTAGAAAGATGCCCTGAAGGCGTAACAGTTTTGCATATTAACATAGTACAATTTTCCTAAGACGTAAGGTTTGATTCTCTCACACCGGAATGGACTCCTACTCATTTCCATAACGTAACGTTCTCGAGTTGAGGCGGTAGTTTCGATTCTGCCGCGGGAAAATCTGCATGGTGTCAATATGGGTTCCCGTCGACGTAATTATAAGCCGGATTTGATAACAATAAATTTTATTTTCAAACTACTCATGCCCCGAAACCACCAACAAGGAAGCCATTAGATTCGTCTACACTTGACAGAATTTATTTAATGCGATTTGTCTGCAGATGGCAAAACATCAACCTCTTATGATTTCGGGAAAAATTTTGAGGATGTTAATAACCACCATATGTATTTTGTTGCTAGACTACGCACCGAATGGTTTTCCAACGTTGTCTGTCCGAAATTATAAATTCAACCCTCAGGCAGCAAAAATGTTGACCTAGCTATAGATTGTTTAATCACATTTTCTGCAAAAACCATATAGCGTTGAATGAATTTCCTGCAATATATAAATAACACACACAAAACACCCTGATTTCTTATTTTGAAAAATGTGGCCAAAGTTGTCTGTCTGACATTAAAAGATTCAACCCTCAGGCAGCTGAAATGTTGACCTAGATTGTTTACTACTAATAATACTACTCGCTTTTACTTGGAAACCACACGCCATCGAAATTCTTGCCAATATACTATAATAATGCACACACAAAAAAACTGATTTCCTAAAAGAAAATTATATTTCTATGTTACAGCAAGGATATGGTTACAGTTAGTGATGAATAGGTTTGAGTTTTGGACTGTGATTACTGTTAATTGGTAACCGACCAGCCCGACACAGTTTTGTACCAAGGCTTTCTTTTGAAACGCATCAGATCGGAACAGTGGCTGAGGTCGAGGGTCAGGCTAGTTGTCTAGGATAGAGGATAGAGATACCCTCATTATCACTGGTCTGTTGCCTCTGTATTGTTAGATAAGTAGATCTCCTTTGGACCAATTTACGAATGCCAGACTCAGAAGCATTATCTTGTCAAGCCGGTAACTTGGGAACATGAAAAGGGAGACCGAGTATATATTCATGGGGCAAAAAAATGCCCGCCATAGTCTCATACTATTGTGTTGGGGTCTAGTTTGTGCACTAAGACGTAAGTAATGTGTGTTTAGGTTCACTATTAGCGGACTGATATTATCAGCAAAGTACACGGGGGTGCCCAACAACTTTACAAATACTTCAAAATGATCTAATTCTGGGACTGAGCGCTCTTCGTGTTGGTGATGGAATAAAAATCATATATCGGTAACTCCCGGTCGGTAACATACATTGAACGAATTCTGTGCATAGTAGAAATTTCAGCTGCTGTACTTATAAACAAGAGTTCCGCGATCTCATACCTTGAGGAATTGTGCATGTTTCTTACTGATTATGCAAATAAGATCCGCATTTGCATGAATGATATCAATTGATCATATCATCCACCGAATGACAATCTTATCTCAACAAAAAAGCTATTCTGGCATTTCCTTATAAATTATGCAAATGAGTCACTGAATTGAATAAGCTATGTTTAACGATGTTCATCCTCGCTTAACTTCCAAAAGAGGCAAGCATGAAATTCCCAGCAGTTACCACTATGGATTATACCACTTCATGCAGTCATTAATATTTTGTGTAATCAATATCTGTCCATGTTCTTATTCTGCCTGTCAATCTTCCCCCACCCACGTGCTGTCAACCTATTCTCAAGTTCATACATTTCTTGTGCCTGACAGCTTGACCTGTCATTCTGTCAATCTTCCCAACCCATGAGCTGTCAACCTACTCTAGATCTGTCCAGACACACAAACACACAGTTCAGCCATCCAGAACAACACAACACATAGATACCACCACGTGTCAATTCATACCAGTAGGTTTAATCTGATGCCATTCGGATCACAAAGATATCATACAGACCAAACATTGGCAGCATACAAATTCACAGTTTAACTTTTACAAAATCACTTTTCAAAAAAACACACCTTTAGCAGCTCACTTCTATCGAGGATCCATCTACGTTCTTGGCCGTTTTTGTGACTGTACAGATGCAGCCTAATGTAGTTTGTGGTTCGGAAGTTTTCGACTTCTGTGGTATCATTATTACAAGCTGCACAGAAAGCTACAATTACAATTAACTCAACGATTAATGCTTTAACATTAAACCACACGACAGACGAAACTTACTATCACCAACAGTCTCAACATATTTATAAACTAAAGCACCTATAATACAATGGCACAGCAGGGTATACTCCATTCACTTTTAAATAGTTCTTTAAAAAATCTGCTGCCGTAAAGTCACATAAAATTACAAGTACAGAATCTGAGAGTCTTCACAACTTCACTATCCCATCTGAGAATTTCATTGTAGAATCACGGTACATCATAGTAATCCAAACTGTTAAAAAATCGAGCTGTCAAAGAGTTACCTTACAGCAATATTCTACAATTGAAAGAAGTACAGTCAGTACTGGTACATTACAAAGGGTAATGCGCCCTTTTGGACGGCCCGCTATCATTGCTAAATCATTTCTAACACCTACACATCTAGTCCAAATATACACAATACAAATGCCATGTACACATCACAATTTTCTTCCTGAATCACGTGTCGTATTATCATTATTATCATAATTATTACACTGTTGGTTTCCTAACCTTAGTGCACTGTGCGGTTGATAAAAAAATCGCCTACACGCTACGTGCCGGGAAATTTCATCCCAACGACTAAAACTAATCTGTACAAGTTCAAGTGTCGGTGAGCTTTAAAACAACTTCAATGTCAAACAAATAAAATACACACCAGCTTCTTCTAGTAGAATTCTTTAAAAACACTTAAGAAATTTACAAACCTAGATTTCATATTTCCTATTGATGACAACATGAGTTCTGTAAAATACAGGCCCCATTATGGGTATATCATTGCTGATGTACAAAATCCATGACTATTTAAAAAGAACCCTTGTATTGTTACTACAAGAGATTTCTACCTCGCCTTTACATACAGTAGCATAGCTTGGCGTCCTAGATTTGCTTCTCGACAATCTTACAAAAATGTACAGAAATAATTTGTTAGCAACACTGGTCAAAATTACAAAATATATAAAAATGTATTTTATAAAAATATTTGCTGCTTTCTGGTAGTGCTCCGCCTCTCCGCAGAGGTCGCGGCCTTACGCGGAGGGGTCATAGGTCACATGTCGTCATACGGAGGTCTCGTTGCTCCCGCTGTACAAAACACACGAAGAACAAAACAAAACTTAGCGAAACTCAAAACGTGTGCGATGGAAACTAAAAGTGAACGAAAAAAAGCCTTTCAGAGCGTCTCATAATATGATATGGAATAAACCAAGTCTGAAAAAAAGTGGGAGGGGAGGGAGAAGGGAAGAGTTAGAAAGTTAGTGAGTTAGTGACGTTGGTTAGTCAACTCTACATGAAAATACAGTATCGTTAGGGGTAAAATGTGACCAGAACTGAACACCGTATAAGGGATTACAGTAGTTCAATCAGTTCAGAAATGCAGCCAATTAGTTAAACCCTAATAACCATTACATCCCCCATTTCACTGATAACACAGGAAATTACAAATGGCTTTTTGTTTGAGGTACAATCCCCGAGTTAGGCTGGGAAAGTGGAGAATTCTTTTCGTACTAAGTAGGACCTGGGAGACTGTGATCACTTTGTAATCAAGAAGTAATATAATATCAGTATAAAAGGTATTGGAAAAGAGAGAGGATTGAAATATGGTTATAAATTATGGTGCGGATTTGGTATTTTCTGTGATGAACACGTAACATCTCATAATTCAAGCTGGTACCCTTGAAATGCCACATCAAAACAACAATGAATTTGAAGACATTTTACGTTAACAAGTTAAATGCAGTATCAATTACAAGTATGCAAACTTCAGATATCTGGGTACTCAAGGCATTCTTCAGGAGGCCTTGATAACACTGCTTTGTTATTAAAGTTGGCTGAATTACCAGAGTTGAGGTTACATGTTCGTTGCATAAAATATAAAATCTTTGGCATGACTTATAACAATATTTCAATATGTTTTTAGTACCAAACATTTTCACAAGTTCGGAACTAGTTCCACCGAACCGGTACACAGCAGTAACCACCACCACCGACAGAAATCCATATTTCGAAACATTTAAAGTAAGGCTTATGCTACAAAATTGTATTTTGAGTTTTTCTAACTTAAGAGAGTATATCCCATCACCCAAGCAGTAATTATCAAACCACCAGCACCAAAAATCGATATTTTGAAACTTACTCTACAAAATTGTATTTGAATTTTTTTAATTTAAGAAGAGTATATCCCATCACCAGAGGTGTAATTATTAAAGTTTTAAACCACCACCGACGGAAATCGGTCCGACTTACTCCGTGTCTGAGGCGGCGTGGTCGCTCATGGTTCCGTTGGTTCGAATGGCCATGTGCAAGTGCGGTAACCTGTCCAGGTCGTCCCGCGACGCCTGTCTCGACCCCTGACCCCGACTACCACTATCGCTGGACCCCCGGGAGGGGGGCTTATATCTGAGGTCGTTCAGTATGCTATTGTGCACGAGCGGTTTGGTTAGGAACTCTCGGCTACCTGCGGGAACGAACATGCAACATGCAATGAGAACGTGGAACGACACTTGGTTTAGCGAAATGCTGTTAGAGCACAAACATTATAGAATAAACGGACTCAAACACAAACACACGCGAGCGAAATGTGGTTATAACGTAAACATATGACAAAAAAAACAGACTCACACACACACACACTCTCATACGTCATAACGAGTAAAGGTAGTAAACTGAATTTTTGTTAAAAAATTCATCGGAACTGTGTCATTAGTTTCATTCCTTTAATAACTTAAATTATTAAATACCTAAATGCCTGAACAATTAAGAAGTTCTAATATCATATTACTACTAATTTCGCAGAATGACCTTGTGAACATTTTCCTGAATGGTGATGCTAATCATGTCTCAACAATACAGATTGTATTTACTTAACACTGCTCTGAGTTAGAATCCTGTTTATGTTTAACAAAAAGATGCTATCGCTAGCACTTTTGCTTCACACACATTGTATATTACAAATGCTATTTTAGACTGAAAGTAAACAACGGTAGGATTAAGATTTCTTTTATAGCAATAAGTACAAAGTTCGAACTTTCACACAGTAGAAATTAATAATTGCTGCGACGCCTCTAAAGAAAGGACGGACCTAACTGTGTAAGGTCATCTATTTTTGTGTGTGGATGAATAGAACATACGCACACAGACAAACATGCCAGAAACACACTGCTATTTACCCAGCTGACTCTCACATTGAAGGGAAAGGTGCCCCGCTAATTTGCATAACAATAAAATGTGGACACAAGACGATTACTAATGATGTAAACGAATATTAAAGTAAAGCGACTCGCCGAATTACACGCCGTAATAACAGTTCCGCGTATAATAAAGGGAGCCAAACTCTGCTTCGCATGGTTTTCTGACAACGCTTCCCAGTTATTATATTAAATTTTTCTCATTATGGCCCAAACATGACAAGATGGATTCATTAAATATTGATAACTCTTTCCTCAATAAGATCAAGTCGGCATAACTGCTTTTGTTGGCATACTACATGTTACGCATGTGGCCGTTATGACAGGATTGGTCTACGTCAATGGAAAAATACACCACAGAGAAGGAAAAATTACCCACTCGCTGGCTTTTATTTTTTCAAACACCTTAGCTTAAATTTACCCTACATTTACAATTACAAAGTTTGGCGTCTACACTGCAACCTTATATTCTCTCTGCCAGGCTTATTCATTTCTAGGAGTATTGAAACAGGTGGGCTTTGTTTTAAGAGAATGTACTAAAAATATTACTAGTCTTGTAGTTGACCTTAATTTAAAACAGAAAAATATACCATAACCGAGAAAAACAACAAAGCAGGAAATAAAATTACACCCTTTCTATCATTTTTTACCAGTTTTCCACGAATCACAAAGAAAAAAATTTATAACAGGATGAATCCAAATGCTACTATGGGCAGTAAACGAGATTAAAAGACAAAAAGAGGGGCACCAGGTGTTGTGTGGTAAACCACTCTGTTGCTGATTTCATTTAGGTGGAGGTAATTTAAGACCTAAACCAATTTCCCCCCAATCTAGACTGGTTTGCATAATGATAGTTGCTAGATTGAATCTGAAATTGAGCACACAAACTATGATTACTCAGTCCTCTCGAGGTAAATAGCTGCCGGTAATGTTTTAGGCAAAACAGAAAATTGTGTGGATATTGCACATCGGCGTGGTGGAAGCGCTATCGTATAATTCCATCTACATGCGCTGCCTGTATGATGGGCAAGGGCATAAAAGTCCTTGGGCTTTTATGTGGGAAAGGCTGCTCCTGGCTAGAGGCGATCTAATTGAACTACTTTGCATAATTGCAATGCCATAGCAGCTGCATACAGGCCCAGTCCACTCCAGCTGAGGTGAAAAGGTCAGGCTTCCGAAAATTCAAGTGGAGGGGCCAGGCAGGGGGGTTAACCCCCGGCCTCACCAACCAGAACCACTCTATAACTGTCAAAAACACATGCAGCACGGGCTTGACCCACTCTCCAGCTGGCAACCTGCGCGTAGAGAGGCCCCGGAACACCCCTCCCCCTCTGGGCGAATGGTATCGTCCTGACCTGATTAGACATTTGAATTTAATTAGGCATAAATTCTGTGTGGCACAAGAGCAGAGCCCAGTGGAAGAGCAGGCAGCTGGCAGCACCGCACGCTTGTTGTGTCACATACGTGCGTACGTACGTACAGTTCCTGACACTGACAGTCTTTCCCACCACCACAGCACAACAACATGCAGACCACCGGGGATATCCTACATCAGGACACCACAGGATTGGACCTCCGCACGCTTGTCAACTCCAACGTTCCCGCCAGCCAGGGTTACGACATGAGCGTGGTGCCCCCGGCCAACGACAGCCCGCTGTCATGCGGCGAAAACATGGACACGGCCGCGGACATGCAAGACATCGACGATGAGGTGGAACAACTTCTCCGGTAAGGTCCACAATCTCTCTCAAGGGCTCTCCAATGATAACGCACATAGCCGGGAGTTTTAATACTGCCATAGAGAACAAAGGGGCAAGGCCAGAGGATTATATATGCAGACCTGGGCAGTGACAGGGCTTGTATTTCACTAGAGCAAACACAGACAATATTGATTACACTTTCCCTTATGGCAATGATCGCTGTTATGCCAGGAGTTCAGATATAATATTCCGCAACGTTGCAACATCTACTCACACACGTTACGCGCAGTTTACGTTAAAATCTAAAGAATTCTGTTGAAACAAAGTAAAAGCTGGGGGGCAAATACAGAGCTGACCTCCCCACATCTTGAACTGGTGCACCCACCCATCCTAAATTTGCTGAATGACTGATTTAGGTCAGAGCCTTTAGTAAGCAGCCACAGGAGAGCTTCACAACTCTCCCTCTCCCTCCCAGCCATGTGAACAGACCTGTTTATACAGGAACACATATGGCAGCTGACAAGCTTCAATTAGACCACATATTCTTTGTAGGTCACCCACTTTGCCGGCAAAGAGTTATTATTAAGGGCAGATGATGCAAAACAATAAGATTTTGCCCGTACTGTATTACTTTGTCTTTTGTTCTAGTACCGTACGGTAATGACGTGAGGTTTTGTCCAGATGTGAATATTTTTTCTCTTATGTTTTTTGTTCTACTAATAATTTCCTTATACAGTAATTCTATGCACTGTCAATATTTGTACACAATGCTAAAGCAACATTAAATGAAACTGTTTTTATTGCAAAAATTCTAGCCTGTTTTGAACAGTTGTTGTCCCTAGAAAATTACTTATAAATACATAAAGCTGAATTGTAAAGCAGGCTATGAGGTATTGACTACATTACGCTATGAAATATTTAAATCAATTAATGCAAAACGAGAGAAATCTGAACAAAGGGACAGCAGCGCGGTGTTTTTGGAGTCCACAGCTCTGCATGAAGGACAATAACATCATTAGAGCCAATTTTCATGTTAATAATCCACCTTCGCTGATTAGGGGAAATTAGCTTCTGGGTTGAAAGCATGGCAAATAGGGCAATCTTGTTCATAAATGAATAATGGGGCATGGGATATTAGAAAAGCGGAATATCTGCCGCACTGATAATATAATATCTGTTCTGTGATAAGCCGTAAATAATTTGTTTTCCATTGTTTGGCAACGAAAAATGATGGTGTAGTTCAGTCTACAATCTTTTTGACAAACCATGAAAAATTGAACTCAAAATCAAAATTAAAAAAAAAATACTACTCCATCTTCCTAATGCTTTCTTTATCGCCTCCTTCCTTGAGTATGCTCAATCGTACACTACTTCGCGGTTGGTAATATTTAATAAAAGCACAAGAGCAAAATCGGCAATTTTTGTTGTGTTGATCTGTCGCTATTTTTTCCCAGAATACCGCAGGACGACCTTGCGTTGTTGATCTCCGACTACCTGGACAGACACAACGTGAAACAGTCGACGATCGCGGACCAGGCCAAACTGGGGAAGGCCCACCTGTCCGTGTTCCTCCGCGGGAAGGAGCGGATGCGAGGGTACAAGCGGAGGCAACTCATCACGTGGTTCGTGCGCCACAGAAGGATGGCTCCTCAGAACGGCGCCTTTCCATGCGTTGGTAAGAACTTCTAAAGGAGGGGTCAATGACCTGTAGTTTGGCATTCGTCTCTAGGCAGTTGGATAAATGTCTGTGCAGACAAAACCCAATTTTTTAAAAAATATTGTGTTACAAAAAAAAAGTTTCGAACAGAGTCATACATGTGTTGGTAAGAAGTGTCAATGACCTATGGTTCAGCATTTGCCTCTAGGCAGTCGGTTAAATGTCTGTCTTGGGTGACCCATATCATCGACAACTCTGTAAAAACATTTTTTCATACTTGTATTACAAAAAAAAAGTTTAAGAGAAAGTCATACATGCGTTGGTAAGAAGTGTCAGTGACCCATAGTTTGGCATTCGCCTCTAGGCAGTTGGATAAATGTCTGTGTAGGGTGACCCACATGTACGACATCTCTGACAAAACCTGTTTTTTTTTTAATACTCGTATGACAAAAAAATTTAGGACATAGAGTCATACAGCACTACAAATTACAATTTGGAACAATGAATGGTGAAAACTATGCACTAGTACTTCACAATACAAATCAAAACTTGCATCTGCATCCCACAGAGAGGGGAAATTAGATAAGAAATCCATTTCTATACAGGACCACGAAAGCTCCAAAACAGTAATTTGTAACATGAAGCCCTTAAATCTTCAAATAAACTAATTTGCATACACTACAGACATAATCACCTACATGCAGACCCAGTAGGCTGGCAGTAAGAGGGGCTTGTCACTCACATGAAATATTGACCAGAAAAACTACATTTGTCCACAGTTTGTTGAATTCTTCCAGATGTTTCTAAGGTCATTTCTCCATGCCCTTAGTAGAAGGAAGGATTTAAAAGAAGCTTTCAGGCGGCATCCACCATCTTTAACCCCACGCACTTGAACCCCAAGCATACATTTACTGGTAAACTTGTCAGTCTAATCTTGCTGACGGTCGGATGCCTAACGACCTTGCTAATTCCGGGCGCCCCCCTCCCCCTCCAGGGAACCACCTGTTCCTGAGAGGACCCCTGCGTGGCCCGCGGAAACGGCGCTTCACGTGGCCCGCCGAGGCGCTGACCATCCTGGAGAAGTTCTACGAGACCAACCCGTACCCGACCGTGCACGACTACCAGATCATCATCGCGTCCCTCGGACCCGTCGGCTGCAGCCCCACGCCCGACCAGGTGCGGTTCTGGTACCAGAACCGACGCCGCAAAGACGAGAGCTCCGTCATCGTACAGCGGAGGAAGCTCGTCAGAGGTACGGCGATCAAAAAAATCCTATTTTACTCATTTACAAGCACTTACATGCACAAGTTACAAGACTGACTGAGAGCCATTTCTCCATTGATTCAAATGCTAAATGTTTCGTTGTCATCCTACAGCCAAAGAAAGCTCGTCAGAGGTACGATGTTCAAAACAATCTAAACATTTTACTCATTTACAAGCACTTTTAAGACTGACTGGGATCTCCATTGATTCAACTGCATAAAATGTTTTGTTGTCATCGTACAGTGAAGAAAGCTCGTCAGAGGTACGGCGTTCAAAACAATCCGATTTTACTCATTTACAAGCACTTAGAAGACTGACTGACTGGGATCCATTTCTCCATTGATTCAACTGCTACTAAAGTAAATGTTTCGTTGTCATCGTACAGCGAAGAAGGCTCATCAGAGGTACGGAGTTCAAAACAATCAGATTTTACTCATCTACAAGCTCTTAGAAGTCTGACAGGGAGCCATTTCTCCATTGATTCAACTGCTTTGTTTTGCTCCTACCCAAATTGAGCACAGCTAGAATTACTTGTCATCGTACAGCAAAGGAAGCCTGTCAGAGGAACAGAATGTTCAAAACAATCCTATTTTACTCCTTTACAATCTCGTCAGAGGTGCAGTGTTCAAAACATTTACAAGCACTTAGAAGACTGAGCCATTTCTCCATTGATTCAACTGCTTTGTTTCCTTCGTGCCCAAATTGAGCACAGAATTACTTTAAAAAAATAACAAGAAAGTGTCTAATAGAAGTAGTAATTACACCTCCCAGAAAAGAGTGATTACTTTACAGGTTTACAAATGGCGTCTTTTGTTCTCGTGAAAAATTTATTCAGCAGTGACAACCACTCAGAATTAATGAACTGTTTTTGTCCATGATGGGCGGACAGGCAACAGAGAAAGTCATTAGAAAACGAGCGTGAGCCGCTGATTTGACAAACGCCACACGTACAGGTGTTAAATGGACCAAACCGCATTAGGTAATTGTTCATTTTGCAGGGACGTGGATAGTCTGAGTCTGACATCACAGTATCTGCACACCAAACCCTGTTAACTTCACCACTTAAACACGACTAAGTGTTCTTCAATAGCCTTCACATGTGAACCACCCTCAACCATCATTTAACACGAATGTCCACAGCGTCCAGTAGTTGGTGCAAGAAACTTAAAAGGGTACAATTACCCCACTATTGGTAGTGTTACTGGCCTGTGGAACCACATTACAGTCCACTTGAACATGTGTCACAAATTTACTGCTATGCTCAGTCCTGTGTCAGCCACAGCAGAGTCCACTTGAATGCCATGTCGCAAATTGACTGCTAAGTTCAGTTCCACATCATATTCAAGACTGCTCATGACAGCGGAGTCCACTTGAATCTCATGTCGCAAATTGACTGCTAAGTTCAGTTCCATATCATGTTCTCAACTGCTCATGACAGCGGAGTCCACTTGAATCTCATGTCACAAATTAACTGCTAACTTAAAGTTCCATCCTACGTCAACCACAGAAGAGTCCACTTGAACATGTGTCACAAATTTACTGCTATGCTCAGTCCTGTGTCAACCACAGTAGAGTCCACTTGAATGTCATGTCACAAATTGACTGCTAAGTTCAGTTCCATGTTCACAGCTGTTCATGCCACTGATTGACCGTGGAGTCCACTTGAATCCCATGTCACAAATTAACTGCTAACTTAAAGTTCCATCCTACGTCAACCACAGTAGAGTCCACTTGAACATGTGTCACAAATTGACTGCTATGTTCAGTCCTGTGTCAACCACAGTAGAGTCCACTTGAATGTAATGTCGCAAATTGACTGCTAAGTTCAGTTCCATGTTCACAGCTGTTCATGACAGTGGAGTCCACTTGAATCTCATGTCACAAATTAACTGCTAACTTAAAGTTCTATCCTACGTCAAAAACAGTAGAGTCCACTTGAATCTCATGTCACAAATTAACTGCTAACTTAAAGTTCTATCCTACGTCAAAAACAGTAGAGTCCACTTGAATCCCATGTCACAAATTAACTGCTAACTTAAAGTTCCATCCTACGTCAACCACAGAAGAGTCCACTTGAATGTCATGTCGCAAATTGACTGCTAAGTTCAGTCTCTCCTGTTCTCTTGCAGGTTATGGGGATGACCTGTTGATGTCCCCTGTTAGCACCGTGCCATCCGCCTTCCCACACAGCGTCAACAACACGTTCCAAACCCCCGACATGGGAAAATCCGACCCCGAAGCTGCCCTGATCCAGGCCATGCCCCTCCCCTCGTCCACAACGCTGGTTCCACCAATCCCGCGCCTTCAACAGGTCACCATGGCAACAGCCCTACCCAATCAGAGTCATCAGAGTCCCATCGTGTCCAGCATACAGCCGCGAATCACCATGCCTCTCACGGCGAGAAGAAAAGCCCCGCTCATGGCGCCTGTGCTCCCGGTGACGACCGCGGGAGTGACAGCAGTGCCCAACAACGTACCCCAACGTCAGAACGGCACCGACTCTCTTCTCACTGTCCCCGTGATCGGAACTCTCGGAAACACAACAAACAGCCAGCCCCTCGCGCTGACGTCACCTAAACCGTCTACCCACCCCGCCGCTGTGGTGCCACCCTCAACCGCACCGACGACACCCGCAGCAGCAACAACAACAGCCTCCACCACACCGCAGGCCCAGCCTACAGACCTCTCCATGACGGCAGCCGCCTGCGCGATTCTGTCTCAGGCAGCTGGCTCGCCGCTGATGACCATCGCAGACTACATGCAGCAGATGCAGCAGCTGCAGCTAGACATGTTTAAGAAGCAGCTGTTGGACCAGCTCAGCCAAAACGCGCCCATGGACCTCTCCAGCAAGAAGCTCGCGGACGCATCCACACAGACCGAGGGGAAATGTGTCATCATCAAAGAAGAACCCAGCAACCCAAACCAACAATTCCAGTAAGAACTTTTTAAAAAAGTAAAGAAAAAAAACTAACTTATTTTCCTGTTGCCCACTTATGGATTATTTCTCCACAGATTTATAAAATCATGTTGTTGTATCCTTGTTCAGTATTGTAAATTAACAAGGTTAAATTTTGCCCAGGAGTTGTTTATTTATGACAATGTCCTGATGAGCCTTGCCTTAACCTCTGAGGTAGTTCTGTTCCTGTTAGACGATTGCTGACAAAGACTGTATATATTAACAGAATCTGCAAACAGTTTACAAGTGTGTGCCTCTATGTACAAGTTACAGACCGTGTCTCCGGTATCATTGATAAATGGTGTTTGAATAGACCATGACAGTGACAAATATGTGTCATTCTCCACTTGACTAGCCCTGAAAAAGGCACCACCTATTGTCATTAAACAACATGAATAAGAGATGATCTTTTGTTACTCATCTTATATCCATTAACAGTAATTGGTCTATTGCCAATTGGCGAGGTTCAAAAAAAAAAACTGTGTCATACTATTTCTCACAAACATTAAATTATAAATGTTTTAAGTTCATGTACCTATGTTTTACATCAATAAATGTGGACTACTGTTGGGCCCTACATTAGTATTACTTAGTACTAGTACTTTGTCAGTTCTAACAGTAATGTAAGTGAGTTGTCCAGGCTTCAGACTTAGATTCAATGGTACAAATGTAGGCTGTGATCAACAGCAACAACAATACAAACATGTTGAAAACTGCTGAGCCAGTCATGTGTGCTCTGTTTGAGTTAAAAGTATTGTTCAGTACTTGTTTTACCGTAAATCTTCTAACTTTGTCTTCCCTATCAATGTTGCAGGAATTGTTAAAAAATAATATACTTTACTGTTGTTTTTGAGTACCATTTTATGAGACTGTTCTGTACCGTTCGTAAATACTTTCCTTAGGTGGACCTGTGGCATTGAGTTGTTATTAGACAGTTTACAGTACATGTTGGTGGTTTTGTTGGAGTACGAATGTCTGTAATGTTTTCTTCAACTCAATAATTCATGTGGAATGAGATCCTGACTAGCACTGAGAGACAACTAGTCTGTTCTAAACACACATCAACAAACAATGTTCAATGTTTTTTTGGCAATAAAAATGTCTGGTTTAATAATACAAACTGTGAAGTCATTATTCATTTGCACTGTTACTTTGGCCATCTGTGTGTATTTGCCTGTCCTGCATGCATTTGCATCCATAAGAACGTTTGCAATATCCCCTTTTTAATGAATAATTGAAATGAAATGCTGACTTATCTCTGTAATTTTGAGTTAATGAATTTGACATTGTTATGTACAAAAGCCCCCGTATACATATTATAATTCCATCATAATACCAGACAACACGAACCATCTTCTAATAATATAGAAATTTTTATAAATCATGAATTTTTATTTACGTTATTCTCTATGCATTTCTCAGAGATACAATAACAACAAATTAGAAATAGCAGAACCATTCCTCAAAGCTCAATTTCATTGTTTTATTTGTATCAAATTTGATTTTCTTCTTTTTTATGGTTGTTTCTTGCAAACAGATGATCCACAGCCACACCTGCACACAATTGTTACATCATAACAAACACACACACTTCAACTGTACATAAACAACATGATCACACACAAAACATGATCACACGGACGTTAGTGACATGTGACTGGTTATAGACATTGATCTATGTACAAAAGTTAATGTGTATTGCCATCTACACCTATAACTATGGTAACAGACAGGCTATGTGATATGTGAAAAACTGTCTTAAATATCTTTACAATTAAAAAACTTACACAGCATAGAAAGAATGTTGTTTAAACTGACACATGATACATTGCTATACTTGATTACTGTATAAGGCTCCCAAATCCTCGGGGTCTTCCCAAATTCAAACTAACCAGGCATGTGTGTTACATAACTGTAATCTTGAGATATTTGCTGCATTTCTAAATTCATGATTTCCATAGTCACTTCCCTACGTTGCTTACTACTGTATATACATGTATTATGTTTCAACTGCGAACTCCTAACTTTCACCATGCCAAGACATTCAGGTGCTGTGAAATGAAACAAATGTTACAGTAGCATGTTGGCAGAACGTACTGCACCTGCGCAAAACCCGTAATGCATTGTGCATAGCACTTTGGCAGAACGTCTCATATAAGGTCGTATTCGCTTATATAAGGTTAACATCCCGTCTGTAGTTTCCAAATGTTATGACAGAAAAGATATCCTCTGCAACAGTCAAAATTCTAATACAATGGTGACCAAACATCCAACGAAAACTGTGAAAAATCAGAGTTTCTTGCGGGCGCAGTACGCTCTGCCGACGTGCTTGTTACAGTATGTCTCTGGCCATGAAGGAGGGGTAAGTAGAAGTACCTGGCTGTATTCTGACGACGTCAGGCTGACTGCCATGGATGCTGCCACCATGCTGACTGACCGGTGGGCTGGGCTTGTCCCCGTTGACTTTAGGCTCCACCTTTAGCCTGTCCAAGCTGCCCAGGCTCTCTCTCTCACTGGCCGACAGAGGTTCCCCCGGCCACTTGGGTTTGGGCTTGGGCATGAGGGGTGGTTTTTCTCTGGGTACTCTGTTAACTGGCACTGGATGATCTAAAACATGGGAACAAGTCAGAATGACTTTGTAAAATGCTTGAGAAAATTTAAGTTAGACCAGGCTTTTACCGTCTTTTTTTCTAAATTAAGGCTGACTGAGAGAAAAGTAGGAGTGATGGGAGAGGTGGGATTGTGGTGTAAAGGAAAGTTTTGTTAATGACACAAACTTAAGATACCAAGAACCTAAAGAACTTATCTATTCATAGAGAACAACTCTGCTTTTTGTCCATGTCTCAGGGTATAGGGTCTTGTGGCTAGATGTTAAAATGACTGCTAGCAACAGATTTTTACAGAACTTACACAATACAGTCTTAAGCCAGTAAGGAGAAAATATAGTATTTTGTAATTCAAAGTTGCAAATAAATATGATACTATTTATACCAAGATTTTGATCTATTATCTAGGTGGCCAAGTGGTCCTTATGCAGAGATAGTCACTATTACAAATTTAACTGGATTTTAAAAAGAAACTTTTAAAATTTTTACCTTTTGGAGTACTGTGATGAAGTGGTCCGTGACCTGGTGGTTTTAGATGCTCTGCAAAAAGAGACAAACAAACAGTGTCAACAAAACAACAACAGCAATCATAAAACTTTTAAATATGCACTGCATTCATTTCAACCGTCATTTTCCAGTAAAATTCTCGTCCCTCCAGCAGGGCGATCTGACCAAACAATCACGCGTATACTGTACTGTACTCCAGATGCTTTTTGAGCTATTCGTAACGGTTTTTCGCGGGAAGAGATTGGGCCCTTCTGCTTGCATGCTGAGTGGGCCATGCACTGTGTTATGTCCAAGTACGAAAGGAAAGCAGGCAACAGTCATACAGGTAAGCTCAAGTTCCATGCTGATTTCTGGCCATTGAATCAACAACAATTTGGGTGAAAGCTTCTCTGAAGTATCATAAATTAGAAATGCAAATGTTTGCAGTTCAAACAATTTTGATTATTTTTTCTTTAAGATATCACGAGCATAGCTCTGTTACTTTCTGATGGCTGAAAATCAGCAATGGAAAATGCAATAAAGAAAAGTCCTAGCAAAGATAATGTCAGAGTTTCAAGGTTTGGACATACATGTATGTCCTGATTTAGACATGACTTAAAGTATAGAACCAAGGCAATACTAACAGTTAGGGTAGGTGAGATGTATGCAAATGAACAAGACCAGATTTTGGATTGAAATATGCCAAAAGCAGAAAAAAGAAGAAAAAGTTTTCAGTTTGCCAACAGAAGGAAATAAGTAGAAATCAGTTTTGGCAGATTTTTGTAGAGGACTGAAATATCATACACAGAAGTAGGCACAAATTCAACTACACGTAGGTGAATCAACAGTCACTGATGAAATGTTTGCTGGTGAAATAATGGTGGACGACACAGCACACACTACATGTTAATGTGTTATAACAAGATGGGGTGATGATGATGTGAGCACAGCGAAAGCAAAATGTTACGACTACGTAGGAGCCAAAAATGCGGACTATGTCATCAGCGCTGCGTGGACAAGACTACAAGATGACTCTAGCAAAGCTGTCCAACTGTGCAGGCAGGCTAAAGAAAAAAAGCTGTGGTTATGTGCGTTTTTTTTTTAAAGAGAAGAAAGAATCCAACACCTCCTTTGCCGAGCTGAGCCTCCTTTTTCCCATCAGCGCTTTCAGCCACCATATCCGGCATATCTGCCGTTGTTTGGGAATCTGGTACAAGCGAGAAGAACAGTTAGGACATCCACGGAGTGGCGCGGCAGAGGTAGCAAAGCAAAGAATGGTTTCACAAAAGTGGAAATAGGAAAAATAGTCACAAATTCACAGCGGGGGAAAAAAAGGACAAAGATTCAAGAACAGCATGGGGGGTGTGTTACTTTGAGGCGCGTTTGCCGGGTCTTTCTGGAGAA